TGATGATTCATTTGGAGGACACTTGGCACATATCTAGCCAACCTCCAAACACAAGGTCGAACAGACTTTGAAAGACTCACAAGACAGGGAGGGGGGGGGGGAAGTCATTTTCATTACCTTCAAAAGAATCTGCAACGCCTTTGAAATTTTTCACAACCAGTTTGTGCAAATCTTCACCGGACCAAATGGGGAAGACGCATACATTCACAAGCAAGCATACACCAGCACCAACCCCAATAAGCAATAGCCGGGAAAAAGCAGTTTCTATGAATTTGGAAGATTCAGATAATAAGACTATGCAGTAGGTCAACAAGAACACCCGGAATCCATACTCGTATTGCTTCATGGTGGGAAGCAGTTTCAAGTAACTTACTACAAAACCTGAAGATTCAAAAGGGAAAATGCTGCACGTTAAAGGGGTTGACTCAAAAATTATTGGTCCAATAACCGTAACCAGGAACTTTGCAGGAGAACCAACAGTGCAAGAAGAAGAAGAAGAAGAAATGTCCTTTTATTCTGATAGAGAAATGTCCCATATTTGACCACTTCTTACCTTATGCTAACTGGGTTTATTTGTACTATGGTTGTGTCCTTTTCGACTTGTCAGTTCAATTCATCATTTTTCAGTTCAATACAACACTTTCCGGTTAGCAATTAAAACTAAACTATTTCACCTTAAGATGAAGTTAGTTCAACACTTTTCACTTTAGTTCTGTAAGTTCAAGTCGAAAAGAGCATACCCTATCTGATTGAACTTGTTGACGTACAAAATCACTAGTGCTTCATCCACTCTATAAGAACTGAACTTTATTGGTTCATGACACATCACACAACTCATCAACCATATATGAAGTGAACTTGTTCATCTCATGATATATTGGATATGCTGGTTTTATTTAAGAATAATAGTTTTCAATTAGTAGTGGACTAGTGGGTGGGGATGAAAGAATTTGAAGCAAGATCACATGCCTGTGATAAAGATGCTGACAACAATGATTTCTTCTTGCCATTTGACAGCCATGAGAGACAATTCAGCAATCCCCAAGGATAGTCCCCCGGCAGAAAAAGTCCCGATTGCCCTGTTAAATCCTTTGCTAAGTGTTGCCCCTATACACATACAAATCAACAATAAGATAAGGGCTCTAACCATAAAGGTGCCCATTTATGAGCTTCAAGTAAAGAATAGGAATAAGAAAAATAACAAATTTATAAGGCACTGACTGTAGGCATTTGTTCGACTCGTCATATTGATTTATTAAGTATGGCTTTTGTTAAGTCATAGCACATGGCCACATCATTCAAATATCAACAAGAACCCATATATATCAACCTACTTTGTAAAGTCCCACAAGTGAGGTCTCAACATGGGTGTACCCATACCGTATCCCTACCTAACTGTGAAAGGTAGGAAATTTGTTTCCAAAATGCCATATCCCAACACATCGCCAAATATGAAGATACAAAACAACATACTCCCTCCGTCCCCTCCCACTAATAATGTTCTCATTGACAAATTGAATTGGCATGGAGGGTGGGTGTAAGGCGTTGAACTACTCCTAGGAGTCCTAGTACAACCTTTTCTAAAATGTCTTACCTAAGGTATCAAAGTCTTACTAGACTCAAGCAAACAATTTGATCTTGATAAGTCTAAACACTAAGCACACAAACTTAAAAGCTCCAACCAGCCACCGTCTTGCTAGACAGGCTAAAACATACTACATTACTACCTCTGTCTCAGAGTGTTGTTCGAGTTTTGACTTTTTACCATCAAAATTAAGTAACTTTGAACATAAATTAAATAAAATTAATGCGGATCATTAGATATTGGTATGAAAATAATTTTATATATTTTCAAAATATTGTTTAGTCTAACTAATATACCATATAATTTTTATTTAATTATACGTTAACGGGTTTAAAAGATCAAAACGGCACAAACATTCTGGGACGGGATGGAAAACAACATCGGCAGAGCATAAAGACACAAACCAACAAATTACAAATCCTATGGAAACCAAATCTGGGAGAGAAAGAACTTTACCTATGCTGAATTCGAAGACGACAACAACAGTGAGGATGGCCCAAACGGAGCGAGTGCCAATGTAGCTGAGGGGTTCTTTGAAGAAGACGAGGAGAGAAACAAGGGAGAGAGCCAGGCCCATCTTAGCCGCAAACACCACCTTGCGCGGATCTTTCCGGCCCATGTCGTACGCCTTGATCAACCCCTCCTTAACATCTCCGAAGAACCGCGAGATTCTGTCGCGAAACCCTCCACCGGCGGGTTGACCCGGAGACCCGAATCCCAATTCCGAGGAATACCCATTCCCGGATAGCAATCTTTCTCTGCTTGCTTGCATGAAGATCAGCGATTCATTATGATTGATTGCTGCCATGGTTTCTGGAACCTAGTCTCATGGAGACGATGATGATTGAGGACTTTTTAGGTCTTCAAAATCCCAAATTTTTGGATTCGCGAACTCGGAAAGCTGACAGATTTGAGAAGAACATGGGGGGGCTAGTACTTGTCCCCATGGATAACATGGAACAGGAGTATTAATGTTAGATCGGCGCCAAAAACTATACACAAATGTTTTTTTATTGGAACTTGTCTACCAATCAGTTTCTTAATTTATTTCACATTTAAAAAGTATGTTTTCAAATAAAAATGTACTTTTGATTATCCCAATGTGATTATTTATTTTGATTTTTGCAAGTCAAATTGAATGAATTTTAAGTTTTAATTAGACAAAAATCATAATTTATATTTGTATAAAATTAATTCATTAGATTTTTCTTGTTAAAAACTTTTTAAATTTTATTTCATTATGCTACTATACGGAGTACAATATAAATTGAAAATAATTGAATCTTAAAGTTTAACTAATTTAACTCAAAAAAAGTCAAATTGGATAAATATACTAAGACGGGGTAATATAATTTCAAAAATGTATAATTTTAGTAATACATTTCTAATCATTTCTGCTCTTATGTTAGTATATGATATAATATGATACGGAGTATTATGATATGATGAGTAAAATAAGGGTGAATATATTTAGAAGTAGTTAATTAATCATTACTAGATAAGGTGAGAAGATATATTGCGTATTTACCTTCTCAAATAGATAAATATAGTAGAAATTTCCAAGAGAAGAAAGTAAACGGATAGTTAAATTGGGGTTTGTTGCCTTCATTTGTTTCTGACTAATTTTTTAAATTTCAAAATGGTATAAAAATCTAAGTTCTTGGGAAAAAACTAGAGTGTCAATTGTAAAATAATCAAATTTTTTTTAATGTCCAATTGTACATCTAAATTTATAAATATGTGAGTAAGAAAAACTTAAAATACAAAATTAGAACGGAACTTATCCTCTTTTATTATTATTTGACTCTTTAAGCTTTACATATTGTAAGGATGCGAATTAAATATTTACAATAATCATTCAAACAAGAATACAAAAAAAAAATTATAAATAAAATAGCTGACAAATATTTCAAAAGGCGATAGAAGTATACATCCTCAAATTGATACGGTAGCCGGTGGACGTTGCGCAGTTGGCAAGGCAAGAAGTGTCAAGAGGTAAGACCCGAGTTCGATTCCTGGCAACTGTGCTGCGAGGTAATCATGCTAAACATAGGGCCTCTATAAATACCAGGTACATGCTCCACTCATTGCCACCATTCTGCGATAAAAATCCAATTTAACTTCTCTAAGTGACCGTCAGACTGGATGTAAGGGGGCCCTCGAGGATGAGGTTCATCATTTTTTTTCAAATTGATATGGTAAAAGATACCCTCATTTCTTCTAATAATAGCTAAAAAAGTATTTATATATGATGATCATACAATAAATCATGTATCCAAATTTATAACATATTACCTCAAACACGGTCAAAGATGAATTTTTTATCTAAAATTAATTTTCTTACATATTTATTTAAGTAATTATTTAATTAAATAATTTTATAACATCTTTTTTCATCAACATTTTTTAGCTTCTTCTAGTTTTTTCATACATCTTCCGAATTCTTCTAACCCATTCTAGTTTCTTTCAATTTTTTTCAATTTCTTTCAACATCCAACTTTATTTTTACAATACAAATGGATAAGAGTCAGTGTATGTGATATTTTAATAGCTAGGTCCGAAAGTCAATCTTAGTTAAAGCAAAAAGTCTAAATTGGAATACTCAGAGATTGAAGTATCTAAGACTCTTTTGATTCTAAATTATGTTGCTTATTTACTAGGTTAAGGAATGTAGTAGGGTTTGTCGTTAACGGACTCATTCTTGTTGGGCTCGTAATTAGGTCATGGTCTTGTAGCTATTATAAATAGCGGATCTATGTGTAATCAATGGATTCAAGTTTAGATCTAATTATATTTCTACAACTAGTTACATTATCATACTGTATATGCTTTCCTTCTCAATTTTTGAAACTCATTTGATAAAATAATATAATGATTTCATCACTTGCTTCGTAGAAATTTTGTTTTATTTTTAAAATATTTAAATTTAATTTTTTTTTAATTTCACCTCAATTCTCATATAAATTGTATTGAAAAAGTACTTTGATCTAACTTCATAAATCGAAAGAGTAAATTTAAATTAAATTAAGATGAAGGAAGTATCAATTGTATTTAATAATGATCAAAGTTTGTCTGAAAAAACAAAACACAACAAACGCCATGCGACATAAGTAGAAAATGAACAAGATGAAAGTCTGAGCGTTTGACACTATTCATTCATTCATATTTTTTATTATTGTTATTGACTTACGGAGTATACTTTAATAAAAATATACGGAGTATTCGAGTAGAGAATTAGATTCATCTTGAATTTGATATAAATTTTTCATATTATATGTGTTTTATAATTTTTAACCAAACATAATGCGTATTTACTTATGGGTAAAAGAAACATCAAGGTTTTTTTTAAACATTTTCTATAATCATTTAGGGCCTATTTGGGAATAGTTTCAGAAATTAACATTAGCGTTTTGGATAAAATTTAAAATTACTTTGAAAACACTAACGCTAAACGCTGGCCGTAAATAACATTTTCAAAACGTTAATGTTAATCTCTAACGCTATTTCCAAACAGACCTTCATCCAGGATAGAGAGTACGGGTATTGTTTTGGATTAAGCTATTTGTACATCAAAATTTGTACCCCATTTTGTACCGTATGCACCGACGTTTTATGTTAGTATGATGATTTACATTGAAAAAAAATAATAGTATAAATTTTTTTAATTGAACTAATATTTTCTGTCTGTGTGAACCATTAAATATCAATGTATTTCTTTAGGGTACAACTTAAGATACATGACAACTTGTGGTCTTATCCAATCAAGATTCCGAAGACCGTTAAATGGCGGGCCCAAAAATATAGGGTGCTTAAAAATGATAGACACATGATGGGCCGAGCTGAATCAGCTTGATGTGGAGCTTGATTAGTTGGTACAACAACTTCTGCCATTTGCACTCAACTCCTTTTTTCTTTCATTTATCTTCCTAAATTATCTCTCAACACCTTATTATCTACACTTCATTATCTATGGACAAATTAAATTATTGAATTATTTATCATTCATGCCTAGGATTTTCAATTTTTTTCTATCCCATAACAATTTAATTCTTGTGACATTGGGACCAATGTTATAAGGTGATCTGAGCCTCATACGGTGGTCTGAAGAGTTTTGATGGGTGTTAGAAGGAATGAAAACTATGAATTTTACCAAGAGAACTCCATAAGTAATTGGAGTCATACTATATACAATCATGCTAGGGGTACACCAAGAAATATATCTTAAGTTATACCCTAAAGACATGCACCGACACTTTAAAGATTCAAACTCGCACAAAATGCTAGTTCAAACAAAAAAAATTTGCGCTAACATTTAGTGTCAAGATAAACCATCACACTAGTACACAATATTGGTACATATCTTTGAGGTACAAAGTGAGATATACTTTTTGAAGTACAAATAGCTTAATTCTATTATATAACATTCAAAACGAATGTCACATGAATCACTCTGAATAAGAATCAAGGTATTTGTACACCTAAACTTCTACTCTATTTTGTACCCAAAGTATACACTGACATTTTGTGCTAGTGTAATAATTTGCATTGACAAAAAATGTTAGTGCAAATTTTATTAAGTGAACTAATATTTTGTGCCAGGGTAATCCGTTAAAATATCGTTGTTTTTTTTTCGGGTACACTTTTTGGTGCACCTTTCGCGGGGAAGCGGACGGGACCCATCTTTTCTCTACAGTTGTTCCACAATTAAAACAAAATTACTCTGAAATGCGAAGACAACAACAAAAGAGAGACAAATTTTGGAGCTTATTTAGATCAAGAGACATTGCATCTGCACATAAACAGACACTACCAGAGAGCATATATAGATAGATAGATACACACTTAGTATTATTATTATTATTAGTATTAATGAATACTATTATTACACAATACCAGATGATGAACCTTAATTATATTTCTATCTGCCAACCCCCTCCTCCCCTGCTGCACTTAGGTCTGTTTATTTATTTATATATTTATTTATATATTTATATATAGGACAGAAAGGGCATGCAGGAGTTTTTTGAGGAAGTTTAGTGATCGACTGGATGATTCAGCTAGAGACTGGGGGGCTCAGGTTTTTCCAAACCCTCAAGGGGGCGGAAGAAGGCTTTCTGATCCAATGCGGAGCCCGGCAGGGCGGCGGTGGAAGCCGCCTGCAGGTGGTTGGCCGTGTCGGGCCCAAACACGCCGGTGTGAGGGTGGGGAGCCCAGTACTTGTCGGATTGGGCCCGCTGGATTATCTCGTCCGGGACCGGCGAGTGTGGGGCATGTTCCTCCGGGTTCTTGTCGTAGGCCGATGCGTGCACGCCCCTGCTGCACCATGTCAAAAAATAAATAAATCCAATTAGTTACAAATACCCTTTAGAAAATATGGAAAGTAATTTCACATTCATAATATTTGGTAAAATAATCATATTCAATTCCACTTCAAAAATAATGGGGTTTGGTGGTTTTTTAACTTGGGTAGGTGATGTTCCGTTTCAAGAACTCCGTAATATTTAATAGAAAAATTTGATTAATTAACATAGTAAGTAACCCAATACAGATAAATCTATAATCATATCAATTTTTTGACATCTAAGTGTTTTATGGATGCATATATAATGGTTGTCCATCAATGTGTATATATTTACGGTGTACTCCAAATTATGTATCCAATTTGGACACTAGTATATCATAGACACACACCTGAATATATTTCAGACTCGTTTGAATTAGGAACATTTTTTTCGATTGGCCTTAGTATTTTACATAAAACTTTAACGTACGATACAAAATAACTTTGAAAACACTAACACTAAACGCTGTTCGTAAATAGCGTTATCCACAACTCCACTAGTTCATTGACATAAAAGATGGGACAAGTCACAAAATACGTGTAGTATTAAATAAACTACTCGTAATAAAGACGTTTTCCTCAACCACTCTGCATGACCACACATCAACTAAAACGGTAACCACACTCTTTCTATCCTAAAATAAATGTCTACTTCAAGAATGTTAGGTATTTTTTTTTAAAAGAAAAATGAATGATTAAATTTTAAGTCAAATACGGAGCATTTCATTTTATTCCTCAATAAGAAAAAAATATAAATGTAAAATTTATTTTATTGACAACTAGGAATGAAAATTTATTTTACAAAAGGAGGGTTATTTGTTAAAAAAGAAGAATAATTTTTCAATGGTGATATTTTGTTCCAGTAAAAAAGAGGAATAATTTTTTATTTTTTCACTACAGTTAAAATATATGGTACGGTTGATTCACAAAGTGGAGATAAATCCAACCCCACACGTCTAATCCCAAACCACTTCTCCACTCCATTTTCACATGTTAATTTAATTACTTGCTAGTACTCCTCATGAGTTGTCATTTGACATCAATACCCCCTTAGATTGAGACCTTACAAACTGATTAATTGTTCAACCTTACGTACATGTTCCAAAAACTTTTTTTTTAAATCGCATATTTTTAATAAAGATATTTAACTTATAAGTTCGTATGTTAAATAAAAAGTAGAAATTAGAGAATACATATTTAGAAACTATATTAAAAATTGTACCAAACGTAGAAAAAGTGACAAAAACATTTTACCTAAATAAGTAAACAGCCAATTGTTATCAAGATTTCAGAATAATAATTGTGACGATAATTCTACAACCGAAAGTATTTAAGTGTTTACTTTAAAAAAAGAAACAAAAAATTGTTTGTATCCATGGTAAGCAGATGTTTTTTTGGCTTATACCAAAGTCTACTATGGCCCTGAAATCAAGAGAAAGAATTTGACAATTCAAACATAGCCAGTTGTCCCTCTCAATTCATTACGACACCAGCGCAGTATTTATTTATTTTTCAATTTCATTTTTAATTTTTAAAGTTGGTGAGTATAGAATAAGAAAACAATCCTGAACGAGCTTCATTAATTAATTATTCAAGGTCCGTTTGCTACACAGAAGTAATGGAATTGGAATTAAATTGGATGTTGAAATTCTATGGGATTGATTTGGATGAAATTGAATTCTCACTTCCAATCCATTTTTGGCACTACCAATTCCAAATCAACATATTTTGATGCTACCAAAATAGCAGAATTTGAATTGTTGTCTCCCATTTCAATTCCATAGTTTGATTTCTGTATGTGTACCAAACAGAGCCTCAGCAATTTCAGTTTTAATTTTTCAATTAATTACCAGCTTCCCTCCTTTGCACAACAGGGAAATGAGTGATTTTTTTAAAAGTCAAAACCACAGAATCAATAAAGTAAAGATTAAGCACAAATCTCATCGAATCAACACCGTACAATACAAATTAATCAAAAAAGATCGGGAATCGGAAACAAACCTAAACAGGGGAGCCGATGATGACGGAGAATTGGCGCGAGTTGCTATCTTCCTCCCGAAAAGCTTCCCCAGGCCGCCGGCGATTCCACTGCTCTTCTGCAAATTGGCGGCCATATACAATTCAGCTGGAAACTTAGAGAGAGAGAGAGAGAGAGAGAGAGATTGAAAATTCTGGTCACGGGATAAACGGAAGTAAAGGGAGGGGGGGGGGGGGCTCCGTTATATAAAGAGGGCGGCGGTACGGTCCGTGCTGCCTACCGGACACCTGTCTCGCCACTCTTTTCACAAATCCACCTACCCAACCTTCTTGCCTGTACTACGGCCTGTCTACGGATGCTCCCGTTCCGTTAAAACGTTTTACGCCGTTACCCAGGTTTATTCCCCTATTACTCCGTATTATCTCTCTCTACGGAGTCGTTTGGTAGGAATATACTATTTGGATATACCCAAATACGTACTCGTACTAAACGCGTCTCACGTATCAATATGCGGCCGGATTAAATTTTTGAAAGAAAAAAAAAATTAAGTAAAAGTAAAACATTACAAATATTTAAAAATAGAAATTTTACATTTTTATTTAAAAATTTAAAGCTAAAATGCATTTTCAATACAATAATGACAATATACATTACTTAAAAGTATTATAAATTGTATATTTATAGTGCTACGTAACCTACTTTACACAATAAAGTAGTACGTTAACATAAAAAGAGCTTTGTGTTTGTTGAGATATTTTTGATTAAATAATTGAAACAAAAAAAAAGAATAAAAAAAAAGGAAAAAAATGAGATGCTACTGTGTGGAAACTACTAAGAAATGAGCTGCAATGATGGATAGTCCTTTTTTTTGGAGTTTTGTTGTCTTCCTCTTGGAGTTGTCAAATAATATTCCCACTATTATGGTTTTTTGGCTATTTAATAGCCATGGAACAACACGGAAGAGAGAGGAAGGAAAAAAGAGGAAGGTTAAGAGAGAGGTCTACACAAGATATTACCAACATTGTGTGAGTGAGTGTAGGGAGTAACTGGTTTTAGTTACTCGGAAAAATACATCCGGGTGTAGGGTGTGAAAAGTCTGTTTATAAGTGTCTGGTATTTAGCACTTGTAAACAGGGAGAGTTTTTTGTGTATCGTTCTGAAATAGTGAACATATAATTTTTCTCTCATATTTTCTTCTTGTGTAGTGTGTTATTTATTTTTCACGTTCTTGATATTTTAATAGTCTTACGCGCTTAAAATACCAACAATTGGTATCAAAGCCAAGTTACATTCGGGGCGGAGGGATTTCTAAGCGGTAAGAGAAGAAAGTCGAAGAACTTGAAAAATGGCATCGGTGAAAAGTTCGAATGTTTCCGTCGAACCTTTCGATGGACGTGGTGATTTTACTCTGTGGCAACAACGAGTAAAAAGTGTTCTTACTCGGGAAGGGACAATCAAAGCTCTGAAGGTGAAGGTTCAGAGGACAGAAAAAATGACGGATGCTGAGTGGGCCAAACACCGGAAGAACGACAAACCGGAAAAATTGTCGGAAGAAGAGTGGGAGGATTTGAAGGACATGGCAACAAGTACAATATGCCTATGCCTTGCAAATAATACTCTTCGGGAGGTTCTCGGTTTGACGGACCCGGTGGATATTTGGGACAAGCTGGAGAGCCGGTACAAGTCGAAATCGTTGACAAGTAGGCTATACTTGAAGAAACGATTGTTTGGTCTCCAAATGGCGGATGAAGCTAACTTTAATGGACACTTGGATGAATTCAACAAGATTACAACAGAGTTGGAATCCATTGATGTGAAGATTGAAGAGGAGGACAAGGCGCTGCTTTTGTTGGCTTCATTACCTTCATCTTTTGACAACATCGTGACCACGCTTTTGTTTGGAAAAGAGACCTTAAAATTTGATGAAGTAGTTGCTGCGTTGTTGATGAACGAGACTCGGCGGGGTGGCAACGGGGTATCAATTGACGGTCAAGCTTTGGTAGCAAAAGGAGCTGGTCGGGAACGAGGACGGTCTAAAGAGAGGGGCGGTGCGTCCCAACGCTTCAAATCGAGTAGTAAAAGCTTTCGGTGTTACTACTGCGATGAAGAGGGTCATTTCAAAAGAGATTGTCCAAAGAGGAGGAAGGAAAAGAAGGACGGGAAAACACCTGTGACTGCGGTTGCAGAAAGTTCGAACCAAGCAAGTGAAGAAGACTTGTTTTTGGCAACCACAGAGAGTCTAGGTAAATCAGATTGGATATTAGATTCGGGTTGTTCGTTTCACATGTGTTCAATTAAGGAACAGTTTGATACGTATCAAACTTGTGATGGGGGTGCTGTGAAGATGACAAATGGTGCACGGAGCAAGATTGCAGGGATCGGAACAGTGCAAGTTCGCATGTTTGATGGCGTGGTGAGAACATTAACTGGAGTGAAACATGTATCGGGTCTAAAAGGAAATTTGATTTCATTGGGGGCTTTAGATTCAGAAGGCTGCCGAATTTTTGCTCAAGGTGGAGTGTTAAAAATTTCTAGGGGAGCAATGGTGGTAGCAAAAGGAGTTTTGTCAAAGGGCTTGTATAAACTTGTTGAAAAAGATTTGACACGGAAGTTGTCAGAAGGAAAAATAACAAGTGCAACGAGCGGAGCATTTGCATGGAAGAAGTGGGTGACGTTTAAAGTTTCTCCAGCTGGTGGAAGATGTGACCTCACCGGAACGAGCGAGGTGGAGCCGGACCAAGTTTTATTATTTAATCAAGGTGGAGTTTGTTGAGATATTTTTGATTAAATAATTGAAACAAAAAAAAAAGAATAAAAAAAAAAGAAAAAAATGAGATGCTGCTGGGTGGAAACTACCAAGAAATGAGCTGCAATGATGGATAGCACTTTTTTTTGGAGTTTTGTTGTCTTCCTCTTGGAGTTGTCAAATAATATTCCCACTATTATGGTTTTTTGGCTATTTAATAGCCATGGAACAACACGGAAGAGAGAGGAAGGAAAAAAGAGGAAGGTTAAGAGAGAGGTTTACACAAGATATTACCAACATTGTGTGAGTGAGTGTAGGGAGTAACTGGTTTTAGTTACTCGGAAAAATACATCCGGGTGTAGGGTGTGAAAAGTCTGTTTATAAGTGTCTGGTATTTAGCACTTGTAAACAGGGAGAGTTTTTTGTGTATCGTTCTGAAATAGTGAACATATAATTTTTCTCTCATATTTTCTTCTTGTGTAGTGTGTTATTTATTTTTCAAGTTCTTGATATTTTAATAGTCTTACGCGCTTAAAATCCCAACAATGTTTTTATATCAAGTCTAATCAAGACAAGAGTTTGCATTGTACTCCCTCCGTCCTAAAACTTTCTTCTCAGTTTGACTTTTCTTCATTTTTAATTTTTGGCTTTGACTTTAAATTTTACCCTCCTTAAAAAAGATTTTTTGAATTTTTTTTTGCAATCATTCAAAATATAGAGTTAGAAGATAATTGGTGTAAATACATGAGGGTATTTGTCAAGGAACCAACTCAACCAAAAGCTCAAGCTTGTGGTTGTGGCCCAAGAATAGTTATTTATATTCTAACACGCCCCCTCACGTGCAGGCGTAGTCTTTTTTCGAGCCTTGCACGTGAAACCTTAACTGGGTGGCGCTGAGTTTCGAACCCGTGACCTCTTAGTCAACAAGGCTCCGATACCATGTCAAGGAACCAATTCAACCAAAAGCTCAAGCTTGTGGTTGTGGCCCAGGTTGTGGTTATATACTCTAACAGTATTAATGTCATTTGTCATCTTTTTTTTCTAATGGAAAGGTAGTTTTAGGACGGAGAAAAATGGGAAGTAGGAAGAAAGTTTTAGGAAGGAGGGAGTAATAATGTGATATTTTATATGGACATTTTATGATATTTTTTGGTAATGTATTTGGTCATGATTGAATATATTTTAATCTTCTTTTTTGAGAATAAAAATATGAAGCTCTTATTTTTGTATATTTTAATATTTTATTCCTATTCTTGTATTTTTCTCATTCTTTTTGTTCAAAAAAATCTTACCATTTGAATTTTTGATTCTGAAAAAGTTATTGTACAAATTTTCAAAAAGAGTTTAATTTTAAACTCAGAGTATATAAATGTCATAAAACTCTGACATATCAAAATCATCTTAAATGAATCTTGGTATATTAAATTTACTAGATATAAATACCCATGCACACTATTGACTTATTTTGAAATTAAAATTATTAAATAATTTTAAAGTAAATATTTTTATAAATGGCTTAGATATTCTAAACGCAATTCTTTTATGTAGTACGACTTATTAAAAATCATATATTGTAATTAAATATAAATATGTCTTGAAAAATTGCATTTAGAATAAACTTCCTCCGTCCTTAACTATTTGTTCATTTTTTTATTTTTTCGGTCAAAATTAGTAACATTTACCCTCAAATTTAATAAAAATTATATTAGATATTGATACAAATATACTTTATTATATTTATTTTATAATATTTTTTTAAAATATTTTTTTATCAAATTAATATACATTATATATTTTATTTAATTATAAGCCAAATATTGAAAATAATTGACTGAAAAAATTAAAACTGAACAAGTATTCAAAGAGGGAGATAATAAGATTTAATAAAATACCTTGGTTCTCTCTTCTTGTGATATGCTCTTTTTCCAAGCATTTAGAGTGTAATTGAAAAAGCACTTACTCCGACCATCGTAGAGTAATATTTTAGAGAAGAATACAATTAGCAAGGAATACTATGAACTTAAAAATAAGTAATTTGTTTCATCAAAATATAAAATAAAAAAATATAAATGGTAAAAACGTTTTTTATAGTCAGTGATTCAGTTCACCAATACATTCTCTTTGTTGCAAGTTATGTATCTTTCAAAATATTCAAGTTAAAACCTAATTTTTAGTAGCATATTTAAAAAGGAAACAAGTTATTTATTTATTTAGAATGGATGTTTAAAAAAGAGACACTTAATGTGACAACTTGAGGATCAATTAAATAAAACTTGTACATTTTACAAGTTATTAGTACAAAAAGAATCTAATTAGATTTGTCTTGTAAAATATTTTGAAAACATATTATCTGTGTGTGAGACATTATTTGAAGATGTGTGGCATGGTTTGTTTTTCGTTGGTTTGGGTAAAAAACAACGTGGGATATCATGGCTAGTGCTTCGAGAGTGTTTGTAAAAGATAATTTAAATTTATAAAAAATAAATTTCATAATGATCAAGTATTTAAACAATTATACGGAGTGGTTTGTAATAAAATATTCTAAAAATATTAAAATACAATTTATGAATATTTTACTGTCATTTTCTATTTAGCAATTTTTAAAAAACAAATATCTTACTCGTAGTTGATTTATTGTTTTAGAGTTTTACATTTTTTAGTAATGCCTCACAAGAAAGTGGGGCTAAGAGTGTGTGGAGCTCAGCCTGCCACACTCTATCCACAATACCCCCACGTATTTTCGCCACCATATCCAAAAAAAACACTCGCAATTTGTAAAGCAAAATACAAATGTCATCGACGGCGGTTGTTGCCGCCGGCACCTCCATCTCCGCCGCATACTCCAGGGGCACATCAGTCAGAAAACCCTCGTCTTCATGCGTTCCCCAATCCCAGGTGATCTTCTCACATTCTGGACATTTATCTATGCTTTTTTTTTTTTTTTCAATTTCATCTGCTTTCGAATTCCACATCCAATTCGTTATGCATTTTTGGGTATAGAAAACTAGTTTTCAAGGGCTGTCACTTCAAGAATCCAAAAAGGGCATCTCCAATTTGTTCTCTGTTGATGATAATGGCGGTTTGATCATACCCAGAACAAGCAGAAGGGGAAGAATTAGAAGGTTCGAGATCAATGCGAGAGCGGCTGCTGCCAAGAACATTGAGGTTGAAGTTGATAAGCCTTTGGGGCTCACTCTTGGTCAAAAATCCGGCGGTGGGGTTGTCATTACCGTGAGTAGTTTGTCTTTCTTTCTTTCTGTAATTTTCAAATATTTTGGCACATTGATACCTTGAAATCTTTATGAACTGTTTATGAAACCTTAATTGGCAATAGGTTTTGTTGGTAGAATCTTGAGATTTCGTCCCAAAACCGATTCGAGACGAGTTGTGAAGATACAAACCCAACATATAAGATCTTAAATTACTACTACTTCAATAAGTTTGACCTTATGATGGATGATTTTAGGGTGTAGAGAGTGGTGGGAATGCAGCCAAAGCAGGGCTCAAGGCTGGTGACCAGGTGCTATACACCAGCAGTTTTTTCGGGGATGAACTTTGGCCCGCGGACAAGCTTGGGTTTACAAAGACAGCAATCCAGGCCAAGCCTGATTCTGTCTACTTCGTCGTTAGCAGGTAAGTAAAGATCCTATTGTATCCAATGTTCTATATAAGACTTCGACACGAGACTGATTTTAGACATTGGAACACCAATGGCATAGACCTTGCGTGCATGAATTTAAGCTGTTTTTTTGTACATAAATTTTGTGTGCAGGGGAGCTGAAGTAGATGTAAAAAAGCTAACAAAACGGCCTGCCCCTCCTCGCTTCGGGAGGAAATTAAGCGAGGCTCAAAAGGCAAGTTTGAGGGGCTGCGTTTTTCAATTCATTCTATTTTATTTACAACAACAACAACCCGATATAATCTCAACAACAACAACAATGCCATTTTGATCTAGTCCATTATTTACCATGACCCCGAGCTTTGTACAAACACGCACATATAGTTATTGTGTGTGCCACACATACAATAATAGTCTGTATGTGTAAAGCTTGGGGTCATGGTAACCCCAAAATGTTGAGGTTACAATGCATGACTCAATTTGTTTTCCTCAGGCTCGAGCAACACACATATGCTTGGATTGTGGTTACATATACACATTGCAAAAGCCTTTTGAAGAGCTGGCGGAGGAGTACACATGCCCGCAGTGCAGGGCGCCTAAGAAGAGGTTTGCAAGGTATGATGTGAACACCGGAAAACCCATCGGCGGGGGGTTGCCGCCACTCGGAGTCATTATTGGGCTTTTGGCTGGGATAGGTGGAATTGGGGCCTTACTCCTCTATGGACTTCAATGAAATTGATGAAGATTCAGTGAACAATCCAAGCCAGCCAGTGTGTGTGTGCGTGTGTGTTTCTTGATATCATTTTAGAAATGCAAATGTGGCAAAGCATGCAAAGGCTTTATATATATAAAATTAGGAAAATGCTAGGGGTACACCGAAAGTGTACCTCAAACATCCCCCACCCCCTCCATCACCACAAAAAAAAAGCAAGAAAAATTCAAAAAAAAATAAAAATTAAGAATGTGAAGAGTAATTTTATCTGAGGCCCCTACAAACCTCCATTGGTAAATTTAATGGTTTCTATTCCCTAATCCATCTTTTACTTCCTGCCTCCCCCAGCTCCCCCAGCTCCGTGACCATTCCCTCCCCTTCATCGACCCGTAAGAGGCTCAGATCATTCGATGACAATGTCAGTTCGTTTTGTACACTAATTATTACCCTACTTAGAGCATCTTTAATGTAAAGCTCTAAAAGATTGCTTAACTAAAAAATTAATGTGGAACCTATATGGAGCACATGTGGAACTTATGTGGAGCACTAGTTGTTTCATCTTTTTAAATGTGTTGCTTAGGGAAGGAACCGTAAGCACCCCCCACTAAAGATGCTCTTATATTTTTCATGTGGATTATTTTCATGCATGACACACCTTATTACTAAAACTATGCAATATAATTAGCACGTTCATAAATCTCACAATATTATAAAATTATTGTATTCGTACACCACTTAATTAAAACAATATTAATATTTTTAAAAAATCTATAGCACAAGAAACTTCAATTATATTACGTATTACGGAATACCACAGAGTATATACGGAGTATTGTGCAGTAATTTTTATTTTTAATAAATTAATATATACTCTGTATATTTTATTTTAAAAGTTTTTTGCTTATACTTTGTATCTCATAAATAGAACTAAAATTAATTGGAACTAGGAGAGAAATTCCAGAAATCCTAAAAAATTACTCCGCTTGTTTCATAAAAATTCCAATTTCTTTTTCAAGACATTCTAAAAAAGACTCATTTTCTATTTTTAGCAAATTTTGTCTGGCCTAACATCTACTTTTAACCATAAGACTTTACTTTACTTTTCTTAAAATGTTAAACCCAATAGACTTTTTTTTTTATAGAAGGAAGTAGTTTTTTATTTTTATTTTTATATTATTTTTTTGAAAAATTCTAGAAATACTGACGAAGAAAGTAGTAAAACTCCGTAGTCCGTAGTAACTCCACCGTCTCACGCTTAGGACATCAGAGCGAATCTACAGCTTCGCTTCTGCCAGAAATTCTCTCAGAGAGAGAGAGAGAGAGAGAGAAAGAGGAAGAAGAACAGCGCGGGAAATGGAAAGGAAGGCGATAGTAATCTGCTCTGTGGTGGGGTTTCTAGGGCTATTATCTGCCGTCACTGGATTCGCAGCTGAAATCACTAGGATCAAGGTATTCAATTCTTTCTGAGAGCTAAGATCTGATATTAGTTTATGTCTCTGTATTTCCGTTGAATTTTATGCATACATGCTTCAATCCGTTCGATTCCATACATATATTTGCTTGATTTTCGTATCTCTGGCCTTTAACTCGTTAGTAGTTGAAATTATTCACCTATCTATACAGCTTAGTTCGGATTTGTTTGAGTTAAAGGTCAATCTCCTATTAGATTCTTGTTTGAACTCAGGTCTCTATGTTTTGTTTAAATTTATACACCTCTCTGAATTGAATTACTAGACTTGGATTATTGAGAAAAGAGTTGCTGAGAATCAGATGACATAATCCATCTGCTCTTTGCGGAAACCACTAAAATGATTGAGGAATTGGCTTAGTTAGAAGTGTTTGTTGAGTTGAGTAAATGCCTAAAAGTGTATGCACTATGCACTGAGTTTTGTATTTGAGGCAATGCAAAAAAGTTAAGTTAGACCTGTGGTTTTGGCTGAAGTTAGCTGATGATTTAGGTACCGAGTGGATTATTCGGCTGAAAATGGTAATCAGCCTAATCAGGGGGTGTTTGTTGTTCTTGGGAAAATTTTCAAGCAAATAAGCGCAATTGGGCATGGAACTCACTCAAAATCAAATTTTTAAAAATGTGATTTCACTCAATTAACCACTAAAACCCCATTGTGCACTGAAGGCATCTGGTGGCCCCGATTTCAGTGATTGACATAACTAGGGAATCCATTAATTCTCGTGTTTTCCATATGTATGTCAATATGTCATTATGTTAACATATTTGATAGAGTTCGGAGTAATTACTTTAAAAAGTCAAAATAAATACTCTCATGGAGTTTGCATTAAAAGAAATTATCATCTTCCAAATATATGATATACTCCGTATATGTGTTTGGGTTGCTTGATTTAACTTTTCCAAATCATAAATACAAGAGAAAATCTGCCAATTTTTCCATTCCATCCTTTAAATTTTGAATACCATGTTATAACGAGATAAGAGCAAAGATATTCATAACTTAGTGTCATAAGAGTAATATTATCTTTAGGTTTCTTGAGTCCTCATGCCACATGTCGTGCGGGCTTCCTTGGTTCGACGAATCGGGCTCTGCATCTTGGGCCTAAGTACATCAAATAATAACAAAATGGGCTGGGTGTATTGGGCTTGATTTGTTTATACATCTGAGCCGGTCCCAATATACCCTTTAGTAATAAATAAATAAAAACTTGATGTATATAAAAGCTCAGGTCTTTTCATGACTAGATCAAACTTCTTCACGCCTCTGACGGACCACGTGAAAAATGATTGCCTTTTACTCTTCCAGTCTACCAGCTAATAGGCAAGACATTTTCTCTCCGCCTCATGCTTAGGCTGCACCTTTTGCCTCCTTTTAGAGCAGTGTGTCTAAGGCAAGCTGAGCTGAAGATCTGAATAATTATTTGTTTTGGTGGGCTGAAAGATGCATACATGGATTGCACTTATGGGGAAAATCCTTTAGTTCTTTGGATTTGTCACGTGTTCTTGTGGAGTTGTGGTTGCAGACTTGCAACACATACTCTCTTAACTTTCTAAGAGCCACCATTGACTTGATTACCCATATTGCTATTCAGGGTTATCAAGTTGAGTTCACCCCACCTTCAGAATGTGTATACCCTAGGAGTCCTGCACTGGGTCTTGGATTGACAGCAGCCGTAGCTCTCATGATGGCTCAAGTTATTGTTAATGTTTCAGCCGGATGTATTTGTTGCAGAAAAGGTTCACAACAGTCTACCCATCACTGGACACTGGCGCTTGTGTTCTTCTCTATTTCATGGTAACTCTGTTCTTCTTAACTTCTCCTATAGTTCATATTTGGTTAATTTCAAGGAGCTTTAAAAAACATGTGCTCAAATAAACTTTTATCAAGACAATCTTTCAATAGGTCACAAATGCTAATCAATTCATCCCACATCAAATAACTGTTACAAGGTCGATATAAGGAGTTATCAAAGACAGTTAAGTTCAAACAAGAAATAAAACAAAAAGAGCACAAAGAATTTAATATTCCTTTGCTCAACTGACTCGGGGTGGTCGTTAGCTTATAGCTAATTTTTATTGTAAACTAAAAAGCTAACGAAACCACAAAAATGACTTTTAGTTTTCTGTTCTTCACTTCTCAAAACCAACATGATGAGTTATTTTGAGCGGTTTTGGTGTATTACACAGAACTCAAAATGAGGCCTGAGTTATCGGGATGTTTCTCTTATCTCACATCAAATAAAACTTAAAACACCACAAATGAACTTATCGAATTGACTTCTATCCACAAGTCTTCATTTACGAACCGAGCCAATAAATTGGCTGTTGAAACTTCTTTGGTGCGCAGGTTCACATTTGTCATAGCATTTTTACTTCTTCTGACGGGTGCAGCTCTGAATGAACGCCACGGCGAGGAGAACATGTACTTTGGCAACTACTACTGCTACGTAGTTAAGCCAGGGGTTTTTGCAGGTGCTGCCGCCCTTTCCCTTGCAAGCACTGCTCTTGGTATTGGCTATTATCTAGCCTCAGTTTCTGCGAAGAAGGGAAACAGTCAAATCTCTCCTCCAAGTCAAGCTGGCATTGCAATGGGGCAACCCCGAACTGCTCCATTTTTTGTGCATGAAGATACTTATAGGAGGCGACAACTTCCTTGATTCTCCCTGTCGGTACTCAATGGGCTGTTGTTGTATTAGTAGTAGTACTAGTACTTAAACACTATCTTGTTTGTAAAGTTTGCGACCCGAGAAAGTATTGGGCTCTGTTTATTGGTCTAATTTTGTGTTACACCCATTTGGGCAGTGCTCGTTTGGGCCTTTGGACTGATGGGTCCGCTCTTAGCCCACATAATTGTGTGGGGAAAGTGTGGTCCTTGTCCGTAGGCCCAAGCATGCACTACTTGTAGACTTGTAGTCTTGTATTGAAAAACCTTGGGTGAGAACTTGTTTGGGTTTGGGTGTTGGGGGGAGATGAAATTGGTGAAAATGCATTCATTATTTATTTAGTTCAATGTGCTAATTGCGTTTCCAATAATTAGTTGTAGCCATCCTATTCCCAAAAGGCATTTTAGGTAACAAATGTGGTGTCATCTATGCATGCCAGGTTCGAAAAATGTTTGGTAAAGTGGTGGGAACCACGGAGGGTGTATCCATTAGGGAATTTTATACTCCGTACTGTTTTTTTAGCTTCACTAAGACACTAACAATAATAATGATGATAATAATTAACAATTACCTATTGTGATTATAATTGTAATTAAAGGAATGATATTCTCTATTAGATCTAAAATAATATATTGAGATTGGTCCATGAAAGATGTATACGAGTATATCCGAGTACAAGTGTACAGAATACATAACATAGGAACAAGATTATAATTAAGATATAGGCCCACGTATCAATTATGCACAAAGAAAGATTATACTAAGACCAATTGAGAGATATGTGTGTGTCTATCTATCTATCTATCTATAATATCCAAAATCGTAATGTGAGTTAAAATCCATCAATATTTATAGTCTTAGTGTGGCAAAAAGTACTTCAGTCGCATCCCCTTAGGAAGACATCGGGGTCAAACATGTAGTTGGCATTTAATCACGACAAGACAAATTCTTCCGTGCACCTAAGATCCATACTTATTTTATGGAGTTTAGTTATAACATAAAAAATGGGTCTATTGTAAAAAAAATATTCACATGCAAACCTAAAAAAATGTGAGGAAGTCCACATTTTGAATATAGATCTTGAGACCATGAAAACATCATTCTCAAGATAAAACGATACTAATATGGAGTTAGGCAACTACAACCACATCACCCTTGCGGGCCGAGGGGCGGAATGTATGCATTTTGACTCTTTTATTCAAAATATAAAATTATTTTCAAATTATTCATGAGGAACGTCAAAAGTTACGTTAACTAATTACTACTTCAATATAAACTAGATTATTCAGATTATTCATGATAAGCATCAAAAGTCATTAACTAGCTCTATGTTTTAAACATATGAGTCAGGCAGAGTATGTAATTACATGTGGTGCTCTTTGAAAAAAGTCTCTCTACTTTTGAGTAGGAATAAAGTCTGCGTACACACATCCTCTTCAAACCTTACTCTTGTGGGATCCAATTGGGTTAGTGATATCGTAGAAACAAAGTTCGACCACATCACACAATATATTCTCGGCGCCAAGTTGAGATATATTCGAGCAAGACAAGAAGAAAAACTTCTATTAGCAGAAAGCACAACGACAATAACAAGCCCAATTAAATCCCACATGAGCAAGGTAAGGTTTGAGAAGGGTATGTATAGGCAGATCTTATACCTATTTGGAAGTAATGAAGCTCTCAGTTGAAAAAGAAATTGCTATGGATGAAATATGGGTTGGGATGACGAGAGAAACAGGGGAACAATGGTGGGAGGACACCATGAAAATTTTAAATGCTGTTTATTCTACTAAAAATAGACGGAGTATTTACATCTTGAAGTGGCGTTTCTTAACAAATCGCACAGAGTTCCAATCAAAAGGCCCATTTTCCAATACACACACAGCACACACAGTTAAACATCTCATCTCATCATTCATAATCATAGAATGTTAGTAGCATCAAGTATTCGATGATTTATATTTGTAGCATCCCCATTGTCATTAAAAAAGACTCCAAAAGGTCCTCTCCTTTTGTGATCGTTGAAGCCTTCTAATGATCCTGACCAATGTGGTTTGCAGATTATGAAATCAAAGCAAAGAATGAAAGCAAAGCCGGTATTCAATCAAAAGTCAGAAAAGAAGACATGACATACCAAGCTGGATCAATCAAAAGGTTGAAGTGCCTCCTACTGAGGAGAACCCAGCAGCCTTGTGTTCCTTCAGCGTGCTTGACAACCAGTCAAGACCCTCGTAAAGTCCATCTCCTCGTAGGGCACATGTCCCCTGTATATGCCATTTCCTGTTCCTAAGGTCATACAGGCCCATCCCTTGACATACTTCCAACGGCGTCATCGCCCCTTTCTGAACCAATCACAATCATCATTACCACCTTAGTCCCAACCAACATTTTGTAGATGCAGAAACTATGCATTAAGTTTAATATGATTGATTATTGATAGTCCCACAACATACCATGTCCTGTTTGTTGGCAAAAACTAAGATGACTGCATTAAGCATAAAAGGATCTTTAATGATGGCCTGAGCAAAATTAAGCACAGCTGCACAGGTAAGCCAAAGAGGAAGTATCGGGATGACATAGACATACTACTNACCCCACCCCCACACACACACACAAAAGGAAAAAAAAATGGAAATAAAATATAGAGTAAATCTTGTTTGAATGGAAGTTCAAGTTTAACATATTGGCATGACATAAGTCTTGTAAGTTATCAATCCTGCTTACATTTTGAAATCGGTTTGTTTAACTAAATTTAACAACTTAATTTGCTTGAACACATTCTTTTGGAAACGTTATATTACATTCAACTAAAATTAGCTTTCTTTTAGGACTCCGTTTTGGGACCAAAATAAGTTTTGAAAATGACTTTTTTTAACGCATGTAGTGATACAGTGAGGGAAAGACCAATATTCATAATGCATGAAGAAACACACTGCCAAAGGCTCTATAATCAAAGGATGTACAGTAGACATAATGCAATCCCACAATGTCTGAAAACTTGAACATAACTATACCAGCCCATCTGTATTGTTGAAGTAATGCCTCCAGAGTGGCCTTAGTTTCTCCTGTCCACCAACATCCCAGACAGTGAACATCACATTCTTATACTGCACCTTTTCCACATTGAAACCTGTGTGGCAGTCAAATGTATCATCTATTCACCTTTTTTATTTACATAGATGCATTATTAACAATACAGTTATTACCTATTGAAGATACTAAAAAATTGATGTAATCTGCGTTAATATGTCAAAATTTGGAAGATAAATAAAAATGCATTGATTTCCTAAAATGACAATTATTTTGGGACAATGTTTTTCGTATAAAAAACAAATAATTTGGGACCGTAAAACTAGTACTATACTCTAATGAAGCCCTAATCCCAAGTACATTGTCATTGGCTGCTATGAAGCATTCAAATCACAATTAGCCTACTAGCAAAATTTGAAGCCAAACATCCACCATTTTTTATGTATTCCGTATCAAATATTGGCAAGCTTTACCTTCCGTTTCAGTCATCCCACGTAAGGACATATGGTTAAATTTAAGCTTACCATTGACATTTTAAAGCAACCATCCCAAAATTTATCTTTACCAAGCAATGGAAAGCTTAACCTTCAACGTACCACCTTTCTAGGAAAATTTAAAATGTTACTCCCTCCGTCCTAAAACTTTCTTCCCAGAGCACTATTCCAACTTCACGGGAATATATATTTATTTGTGTTTTTTCTTTGTTTTGCGCAACGGGAAGAAAGATATAGGACGGAGGGAGTAAATGCTATTCACAAGGGAAAACACCTTGCTTTTCCATTCTCTCCCCCTCCCTTCCTTCAACCAAAGTCACCAAAATCATGAAATTCAACAACTCTTTAATAATGGAAGTACATCTAGGTATATAAGGTCTAGGATCAAAAAGTGAAAATACAGGAAAAGAATGAGCACCGAGAACAAAAAAAGGAGGCTGGAATTAATTGAACAACAATGTAGTTGTTGAAATTGAAAATAAAGGTCAACATAATTGTTCGCAATGTAATCTTTTTGTGTAAAAAAAGAAGCATTATATAAATATATATTCTCCTTATAAGAGTTCCAAACGACCAAAGACTAGTTTCTTGAACCAGTCCTAAACCACACACAAAAACCTAGCAATTAGAACTGACTTACCAATGGTAGGAACTGTTGATAGAACTTCTCCTATGTGAAGTTTATAGAGTATAGTAGTTTTGCCAGCTGCATCAAGCCCTAGCATTACAACCTATATGAATAGATAATAGAAGGATCGCAAACCCAATAAGAAGAAGAATATGATTTGTTTTTAAGCACCAAAAGGGAATTTAATGAATACAATGGAAATACACATTTTATTCCCATTTCCCACAGCATGTTGGAACTTACTTATTCTACCCTTCAAACTTCAACAAACAACATACTGTACAAGCAGGTGCCAATAGGATGAATGGTAACTGATAAACATAAATAGCTAAATTGCAGGTTTAGTTTCCCCAAGAGTCTCAAATTCATGAATGAATTGCCTATGTAAAATCATTACAGCATTATAAATTACTTAAACAAAAACACACTTGGCTTAAAACAACAGCCTTCAGCTAGATCATAAGATAAACATTAGAAATAAATACTAAAAAAACTGGAAGTAAATAATACTCCGGGTTATCCGAGAAGCCGCTTAGGATAGGGAAATTAATAAAGTTAACCTGTACCATTAGGGAGATTTTGCAGGCTAAAACATTAAATAAAACACACAAGTAGCAAAATCAAATCAAATGGAAACAGATGAACAGAAAGCGTGATGAAAACGAGCGTATGATTTCGACAGAGATTACCCTCATCTCGCTGTTGCCGAAGAAGGTATCGAAGAGCTTGCGGAAAGCTTGTCCCATCGCGCCAACCGGTTCACGCTCTCCCGCGAATCGGATGAAAACGAAGAGAGAATAGATCGGCGATCGAAGAGCTCCGCTAGTGCTGCAGTAGAGTGGTGATCTGAAACACTAAAACGGAGAGCGATTCGAAAATATTCCGGCGAATAGCGCCGGCGGCGAAAGGTTGATTCCCAAGTCTCTGCCTCCCTCCCTCTCCGCCTGAAATTAATGCACTTACTATTATCGTTTTCTTCTGCTCCCAAAGACAAACGGAAAGAAATTTACCATAATAAAATTCTTTAAATTTTAGATTTAATATCTACATAGGTAAACCTTATTTATATCTTTGTTTATTTTTTTAACATTTTTTATAAAATAAAATAAACATGTCAGATTTTATTTTGTATAATTTTTTTAATAATTTTTTTAAATAAATCCACTACATTTATGTTATATTGATAGTTTTACTTTACAAAACATGAAAGAATGAATTTAGATACAAACAAACTTTTGAAACAAAATTATCTAATTAAAATAAAAGGTGACATCAGCTAAAACAAAAGTAAATATAGCAAAACCCTTTATATATATACCCTACAAAATTTTATTTCTTAGATCTATACTAATTTTGAAATAAATTAAATTTAGAATAATTTTTATCATATTTTTTGTATCGATAAACTTTATTGATAAAAGTCCTCTTTAAAATGCCCAACTATTATTCATAATACATCCGGAGTATGTTTTTTTAATTATCCATCATGATCCGATTGACCAACTATATGTAGAATTTATAATGAATTAAAAATAAGTTCATACTGGAATTGAAAAGCATCTTTATTTTTAATATTTTTTTTATGATTTTTATTAATATTCCAAATATTTTATGAACTACCCCGTACTATATTTTCCTACCCAAAAAAAACCATTCACATTGACTATTGTAGGAGTAAGATTGATTTTTAGTTCACTTAGTTTGGGAAGTTGGAAATCATTTGTGAAAGTAACTTTTCCATATCTTCGCGTTTGATTTTTTATTTTTAAATAGGTATTAGGGAATTTGTACCGAATGGGAAATGGAAAATGATAAGGGAATTTTTCCATTTTCCAGAATTATTTTTCTATTTTTTGGAAAATTAAACATTAAACTTTTTGGTCTTAGTGAGAATGTGACTTTAGATAGAAGCATTGGAAGAGTCGTGATTAGAGTAACTAGGTAGATGCTTTGGGCTAGAGTATTTTGTCGTGTGTTTTATATGCCTTGTATGTTTAGAGCTATTTGTTATTTGCTTGGAGTACTTTCTCTTCGTTAACGATCTTTGATACGAACGAGAAAATATGAGATTATTGAGAGGAAAATCATTGCCATTTTTCTTGCACAAAGCATTTTCCAGTCTTCTTCAACTTATTGGATATAAATCCACAAAGTATTACAACATCAAAATCTAACTTTTTTCATTTCTGAACTTTAATGATGAATATTTTCAAGAAACCAACAATCCAATTGGATCTCACGAGAATAAGATTCGGAGAAGATGTGTATCCAGACCCCTACACGAAAGTAGAGATTCCAAGAGACTCCAACAATATTTTCAAGAAATCATATTTCAAATATTAATTTCCTTCTTTTTGAACAATGTATTACTAGAGGTATATATTAATAAAGTAAAATATACGGAATATGTTTGAACATATATAAATATATAATACAAGTACAAGATAAATATAACTGAATCATTCTTATATTAGTTGATGAATATTCTACAAGATAAATATAAACAAAGTCAAAATCATTTTTTGTACATCTCCTCCAACTCGTTTAGCATTACAGTTTTTTCTTTGAGTATATTATATTCTCCATTGGTGTTAAAACACGTTTGCTGCTTGTGTTAAAACCTTTTTCTTTTTACGTTCTCACCACATCAATTCACAAACATGCCATGTCTATAACAACAAACATAAACTTGAATAACGTCTGTTTTTTTTTTCAAATTCACGACTCATGTTTTCACTTTCCCATCAGTTTCAACTACAACACACGCATCACACGTTCATAACGATCATATGAGAAACTGAAAACTAAGGTTTCCGAAAGGGCTCGAAAAACAGCAAGTATATTTTTGGCCAGCATATAAAACTTCGGACCACATTGAGAGAAAAGGACCAAAAAAAGAAGAAAAAAGAAACAAGCTGTACAATTTAAGGTCTTCTTAACTGATATATTGGTTCTTTCACATAGTCGCACTAACGCAGACAAACATTTGCCTAACTATAACTCAAAGGTACAACAAATCCCCCCCCCCCCCACGTAACATGCGAGGTAAAAACACAAACTCCATTTCAGTTGTCTTTCGGACCTGAACGTGTAGTGTAACTTACTTGTGCATCTGCCGCTTGTACATCTACTGTATCACAAGATCCTGAAAGCTCAGAACATGCTAAGATGGCGGCGACATCACAGCTTTTCCCTTTCCATCAGAAGTTTCTGCGGATGCAGTCTTGTTCTCCGCATTTGTTGGGTTCTGTAGAAGCATGAGTTGCATTTGCAAAACCTGCAGCAATACAATCCCACCTTGTAACTACCCGAGTGTGAGAGTGTGTGTGAGAGTGTGTGATGTGAGAGTGTGAGAGTGTGTGATGTGTTTCATAATTGAGATGAGAGTGTGAGAGTGTGTGATGTGTTTCATAATTGGGAGTGGGTAGAAAAATGTAGAGGTATTGTAGTACTCCGGGTGTTTTTAATGGGTTAGATGGACCAAAATAGAAATGGAAGTTGTAGGACTTCAGTTTTAGGACATATGGAGTATAACATACGGATTATTCGGCTATGATATGATATGAATATATGATATTCCAAAGTCACAACAGTTCTGTACTTTCCTCTCTTTGCCTTCAAAGTCCTACCACTAAACAAGAGCTAAAAGAATTATTAAGAATAAGGTTTGGTAGCCATGTTTGGGATACAAAAAAAGTGCAGTAAGAATTAAGAGATTTGCGGAAATTCCGAGTTCTTGAAATTGATGGAAATGACAAACCACCCATATTCACAATTCCCAGGAATAGAGAAGACGCCCATCATTGCAAACACGATGTTACCTAGTTGCTGTAAGCAATTCAAGGAAACTACAGAGGATATTGACTGATTGACTAGGTGCCACACCTTAATTTGTTGTTCTAGAAGATTCTTCTGGAACTCAAGTTGAGGATCTTTAGTAGATGATGGATGCCCACTTGTGTTAACATGCTGAAGTGCCTGTGAATGCTCACTATCTGAACTACCATTAACAGAGTCATTGTCAGCCGGTTTGTTGGTGGGATGATGGGGGGCATATCCAGGTGACCTGCAAGCATGAAAATATTAAAATCAATCTTGTCATTGTCACAAAACTGCAGCCATAACGAATGAATCTCTGAAATGTAGAGTAATAATAAAAATTAGAAAAGAGAACGGGTGAAAGGAGGGAGTAAGATCACTTGTATATGATTTTTTTTTAAAGTTATGTTGTAGACAATTGCACATTAATATTTATACTTTTTTAACTGAAAAAATTGGTTTTCTATGGGAAGTGTATATAGGTGTGCTAAATCCATATCAAACCTCTAACCTTCAGTAAAAAATAAATAAATAAATAAATATACGTGAACAGTTGTTTTACTTGCCTGCAACATTTTCTTTAAAAAAATTCAACATAAATATGTGGCAAAAAGAAATAAGAGATATCCAGAGCTAACAGTTTCTTTGAAATATTTCAACATTTTCCTTGACGGGAGGAATGTTTGTAACATATTCATGGAATTGCAAGTGACTTTTCAAGAGTCTACCATTATATGATTATAAGACAGCATCTATTAGATAGATAATCAACTGAAAACCCAGAAAAAACTAGAAACATCTACTTGATATTACACCTGGTCACACACATGTAAAAAAAAGAATTATACCAGTATGGCAGTATGTGCATCCATAATGTAAGAACTTATGTAGTCCCTTAGTCAAAATCACCATTTTATGTCTTTTACATCCTTATATCAAATCCTAATGGTGACGTTGACTTGGTGAGACTATAAATGCAGTGTTTAAAACTATGGGGGTCAAATAACCAGGAGAGACTATAAATGCAGGGTTTAAAACTGAGGGGGTCAAATAACCTATTATGCTAACTTTGATGAAATAAAAGTGGAATCTTTGCTATACTGAAATAAGAGTGAAATGAGAAAACTAGTACCACGACTGTACGGGTGCATAAGTATAAACAAAAGACTTCTCATATATTGCAGCAGCAGCGGCGGCAGCTTGTATCCTCGCTTGATGCTGGTTAGTATTGCCATTTCTCACTCCATCAGCTTGTGGACCCTGAGATGAACTTGCAACACTTGTTCCTGCACCCAAACAAGAGTTAGAATTTAGATGTGAAAAAATAAACCAACAGAAAAAATATTAATTTTCACTCGAACTACCCACATGAAATAAAATTAAGCAATTGGTGAGGGCAATTAAGTGCACTACAAGAACTGTAATTTCATGGCAGCAACACATGGACAATAAAAACTGAGGTGCAAATAACACCTGGCCCTTACATAAAGGAAAGCACACCACATTACCCGAAAAATGAACGTAGATAGACCATTCCCTAATTACTTTTTTAACTATTACTCCCTCCATCCTGAATTAATCACCCCAATTTAACTTCAGGGAGTTCAAGAAAAGTGTTGAAAAGTAAAAAGTGAGTGGTTGAAATTTAATTAGAAATAAGAGGAAGATTGTGGACCACATATTCTTTACTTTATTAAGAAAGTAAAGAAATGACTAAATGAGACAACTATTTTGGGACGGACTAAAAAGGAAAGTGAGACAATTAATTCGGGCCGGAGGAAGTATTATAATTGTTGTTGTTGTTGTTGTTATTACTACTACTATGCTAATTGTTTTATGAAGTATGTATTACTCCCTTTGCCATGTAGTTCTGTTCCTGGTTTGACTTGGCTCGTTTTTTATATATAGCACTCGTAGAAACTAGATATTGCATGGTAGAAATTTGTTTAAACGAGAAAAAAAATATGAACTGTAAAATTCATTCAGAAGAAGGAAATGAGTAACCTTCCTTGAGTAATATCCAGCTAGTAACATACATGCACATCATGACTACGACATACAAGTTACTCCTTATATTCTTTCATTATCGTGGACTATGTATCCTATTTGCTTTGCAGTAACACTGGTCTGCAAAGCACATATTGGAAAGGTAAACTTTCCAATCGTACATTGTAATTCTAAGAATAACTCAACAGTGGAACAAATGATATACCTTGCTGAGAATGAGATTGGAGTACTGTTGGTCCTGTTTGACCATTTTCCGAAGGAACGACTTGTGCTCTGCAGGTAGGACAAGTGTGTTGTCTTTCCAGCCAAGAACGGAGGCAATGCACGTGAAAAAGATGCCCACAAATGAGTTTCTTTGCAGTAGTCATCTCTTCTCGACAAATGATGCAAGTAGCATCACTTCTGCAGAGAAAAAAAAGGTAATGAAAAAAGGGCTAAAAAGACCACATAAAGATGCTCTATTTTACACTAACTTACGCATTAAGCTCTTCGGATGTAGCATCTGGGAAACGAACATTCATGTTTGAAGTGATCTTCCGATAGCGTATGTAATCGGCAATACGAATCTTGAAGTTGCGAAATGTCTCGTACAGCTCCCGAATCAAGTGCAGAGGTACTCCATAGTTGCTGGCAATTAAGCAAAACATTTAATAAATTTATGAACCTATAGAAAATGATGTTACCCTACATTTATTTGTTAATTAAACTTCTACCATGTAATGCAAGTATGATACTGTGTAACCCTAGCTTGATCATTTGCAAGCACATATCATTAAAAGAAGTGAAGAACAAGAAAGTCGAATGTTTCTACTTACATAAAAATTGCAAGGAAGAAGCATAGGTACATAGACAAGTGGAGCAAGTCACGGATAAGTTCTAAGTAGAATGTACAGACAGCTTTTCCCTCCCATTGTCCATCCATAAGCATGTCGCTTACATAGAATAAATATTTAACAAAAGTTGACACAGTTGCTGTTGCAAGGATCATGTACCTGAGACATTAGAACCAAAAAAAGTTGGCTAACAAAGAGGGAGCATGATTAAACATAAGTACAGATACACGGGCCAAGCAGATACATAGTACATAAATATGTATATCCTTGAACTACCATACGCTAACATAACTAAGTGTAACATTAAACTAGCCAGAATTCAGAAGCATGGCAACTTACTCAAACGAGAAGAAGAGAGAAACTGAAGCCTGCCTTGTCTGCAACAAATAGCTTAAGGAGCTGTACAAGAAGAGACTGTCTATAAATAGGAGAAAGCCCATGAAGGACACAATGCGCAAGTGGGATAACAACGGAACTGCTGGGGTTGTTTCAATGTATTCAACTCTCTTCTGAGCCAACCAATGCAATGCCTTGATCAGCAGAAGGGTAGTAACCATGGAAAGGAATGAAACTGAGAAGTCTTGTCTAAAGATAGTAATGGCAAAAAGTATTTCCATTACTTCCCTCCATGACTGCTCATTAAGCCTCTCAACCTCGGCCTCACGAAGGGAACCAAGAAAAAGTTTCTTTGTTAATTGCCACAATATACACATAAAGACAAGACCCATGTTAAGAAGAACTACTAAGCATATCTTTGATGTCGATAAGTAAAGCGTTGCTGGGTAAAATTGGCCTCGGCTGTTAAAAGCATGATAAATGACAGCCAGTGTGGCTACTAGGCTAAGTCCTGCATATGTTTGCAACCTCAACATTTTCTGTTCCTCTCTGTACCTGCAAGAAAGCATCTTTCAATCAAATCTTACTACTCCATATATAGTAGTGCAGTGTTTTTGGGCCAATTTACCCACTGAATCAAATTGCTACAATAACATCACTAATTATTGTGGGCACTAATTAGAAGTGGACAACACATGCAAAAATCTATCCAAAACTTTTGCATAAATTTCATAAAGTAATAATGATCGAAGAAAATAATGCAATAATTCTATAACTTTCACAGCATATCAATTTGGTACAGTAAAGTGGGAGTGGGATGCATATGCAGAATAACCTCCATTGTCTATATTTTAATCTTTTCAAGCAACTGAAATAATTTACAAAGTAGACACAACAGCAAAGTAGCATTTGAAATTTATTATCCCCACCCAAAGTAATAGAGGCTTGAGACACTTTGTCCTCTCGCTATATAAATTGAACTGAAAATGTTCACTTCTCTCACACCGCCAATCTAACATCTGGCATAAAACTTCCTTTTGTCAAGTCAATAACGAATGCAGATTTGCTATTGTAATAAATAATACAGTGGGGTTCTTTTGACAACCATCGTGGGTGTCATAATATGACACCGCAATCTGAGCCACTTCATACCTTTCTCCAAAGCAACTTCGTACCTCTTTCAAGCTACTACTGATGTGCTCAGTTCGACCCCGAAGTAGTTCATAACCGTAACCCCTACAAAGCCCAATGTTTTGAGCCATGGATGTCATAATGTGACACCATGATAGGTGTAGGAAGAACCCCTCTAGATAATAATAATAATAATAATAATAATAATAATAATAATAATAATAATAATAGTAATAGTAATAGTAATAGTAATAGTAATAGTAATAGTAATAGTAATAGTAATAGTAATAGTAATAGTAATAGTAATAGTAATAGTAATAGTAATAGTAATAGTAATAGTAATAGTAATAGTAATAGTAATAGTAATAGTAATAGTAATAATAATAATAAATGCATAAACGAAAAAAAGAAAAAAAACATAAAAACAAATCAATTTGCAAATTTGAAAGGGAAAAAAAACAATGCAAATAATTGCCTTAAACGTGAAAAATAGGACCTGAAGATAGGTGTTTCATACACGCCTACAAAAACATGTAGGGATAACAGATGATCGGTATAGGCAGTGATTCCAATTTGGATCTAAAAATTCATTGATGATGAAAACATCTACTAACTACTAATTAGGTTTCACGTATAGATAATATAAAAAACAATATATAGATTTTAGCCGGAGAATATGTGATGCGGTTGCAAGTTGAAGCAGCGAAGACCGGAGATGAGCGTAGAAGAAGGCATACCTGGGGTTGGGCCGCCGGTGGTACGGTGGATCGATGAATTGAAAGGGCCGCGGCCGAGAAAGGGTATGCTAGAAGAAAATGGGAGGGTTGCTAATTGCTTTGCGCGTCAATTTTCGTGTAAGCATCCAATAGAGCGATGCCATGTGGAAAGATTACTAGAAATACTTTTATTTATTCGTATTTTTATGGATTACGGAGTAATTGATAAAATATGGAGTACAATTCTTGGCACCTTTTCTTTTAAAAAAATTTTGACATAGTTTTTTATTATACATATAGATTTCATTTTTACTTTTTATACCAATCTTAAATTAAAAATTTGTAAAATTTTGAAGTTTTACTTTGTTTTACATAATTTAACAAACATTTTGGACAGATAGAATTTTAAAGAGTAAATTTCATAATTGGTCCTTTATAACATGGGGGTTTCCATATTTAGTCCTTTATTATCAAATATTACCCTCGTAATCCTTTTTTAAGGGTACCTTTCTACAAATAGTCCTTTTTTATCTTCTGCAGTGTTGGTGTTAATTTAAAGACTAAAAGTATAATTTTACATCAACATTATGTCTAGTGACGTGTTCTGATATTGGTTAAGCAGATAACACAAAAATAATGACTATGATTGTGGGCTAGGATTCTGACGAAAGATCACATTTGTAGACTATCGTTGTCGTAAAAAGCGACTGTAATTCACAAACGACGCAAACGGAACAGCCTTTGGAATTGTGTATGACAAAAAAAGATATATTATCATTGTGAAATTATACTTTTAGCCCTCAAATTAACACCAACATGATAGAAGATCAAAAAAAACTATTTGTGGAAAGGTACCCATAAAAAAAGGACCACTGGGATAATATTTGATAATAGAGGACTAAATAGGAAAACCCCCCTGTTATAAAAGATCAAATATAGAATTTACTCAATTTTAAATTATAACAACGTATTTGAAACATGTGTATAGTCGGTGTAAAGTAATCACCTCTCTCTATATATATATATTGTGTGTGTGTGTGTTTTTAGTATTATTAATTTTATTATAAGATATTATTTTTTTCTACAATTCTTAACATAATAACGCACAAAGAGTCAATGTTTCTGTCTTAATTGAAACTGGAATCTAGATAAACTTATCCATGGATCCTATGGGGTGGGCGCTTCTTACCATTCAAGTCAAGAGACAAGTTTACCCGACTATATATACTCCGTATGTGTTTATATTGATACACAAAGTATAGTGACTACAATTATGGTTACTTGATCCAAGTGTCAATGGTTTTTCATGTTAACTCATGTTTTTAGCTACGACCACCATCAATATTTCAAGTGGATACATTTTGTCATTTTTGTGTATGATATAAACATTTAGTTACTTTTTGTTTTGGTATCTAAATATTCTTTCTAGGTTAAAATACTTTAGTTTTAAAACCTTTCACGAGACGAATTTCTAAACCACCGGGTAAAATGGGCCAAATTATAATTTTACATATTTTAAAATATTCAACTTGACATTATTTCTTCTTCTTTTTTCTTATCCCCCACCCACTCTTATTTTTCTTCTTCTTTCACCCTCTTTTCTTCTTCTTCTTCTTCAAAACAATTTTAGTTAAGTTTTATAAATACAATTTTCACTATATAAAAAAAATACTCCATGTGTTCGAAACAGATCTTCTCAAACAATCTTTTAATATTTAAAATTACACCCCCTAACTTTCACCCCTGCCTTTTTTTTAATATGTAAAATTCCACAACTATCTTCATTTTATTTAAAAATTACACCCCCTAACTTTACCCACTTTCATTAAGTATTTTAGTAAATTTCTACCTTTTTAAATTTTTCTTTAAATTAAAAAGAAGTCATTTTGAGAAGATTTATGAGGGACAAAGAGAATGATAATAAAGAAAAATGTACAAACTAGAAATACAATATAGATAATGTATCAAAATAAAATTTTAATGTTTGTTATCTCAAAATATGATTACAATACCAATAATGTCAATATATAGTACCAAAAAATACAGTGTAATGCGATTGTATAATGTCATAAGATCACAATATAGATATTTATTTTAGGGATAAAAAACATATAACTGATATTTTGAGAATGAATGCTACTCCCTACACCCAACAATTTCTTTCGTATTTTGAATTGGCATTGAGATTAAAAAAATAAAAAGCATAGACTTTCCATGATTATTCTTGTTGTGATAAAATAAAGTGAATAATGTAGATAAAATGTAGGGGTATAACAGAAAATTCATGAATAGATTTTTCTCAAAATAAGAAATGAGAAAGAAATGTATGAACAAACCAAAAAAAAAAGGAAGAAATTCATAGAGGAAGAAAATATGTCTTAATCCTATTTACATATTTTTTTAAAAAAAAAAAATTATATGGAGTAATAGTAATACTCTCTAATACTCCGTATTTGTTCACACTTTTTATGCTTGACATTTTTATACGCAATACGGAGTGCATCTTATAATTATCCTCGGTAGAAAAGAGGAGGCGGAGGGGAGGAGGCTAGGGTTTTATTATTAGGATGCCGAGTTTTAACGCGCAGCAGAAGCAGAGGCGAGCTGCGATCGCGGAGCAGAAGAGAGCGAGATACGGCGATCCCATCACCAAAAAGCTTAAGCAGAAAACTCAACCCCTTTCAATCTCCGGCAAGCGCCAGCGCAAGCTCTTCAAAAAATGGCGCAGGGTATGTTTTTCCCCCCTAACATTCTCTCACTATTTTCTACCCTTAGATACTTCGCATCTGTTGTGGCCTTTACGCAAGCAAGCTCGTGTCTGATGATCCTATTGAACTAAAAGCCCGACCGAGTTTTACCCGACTCATTGTGGCTCGCACGATTTGAAGCACATGGTCATGTTTGTGAAATTGTGTCAAAAATGAGTAGAGCAAATTTTGGGAACCCTTGGTGTTTCCATCAAACTAATTAGTTCTTTAAAAAAAGGGGTTGAAATTTGTTTCAACAATTAATTTGTTTAAAAAAGGTGGATGGGTTAAGAAAATGTTAGTATGCTCATAAAAGTAGAGTGTAAAAATAAGCCGTGAGTTAAAAAATGGTAGTACAAAGTAATTATGTATTGTAGATATATTGAAGTATCAATGTCTAAGTTTATCTACATCAATATAAATAGTTTATCTACATTACGAACCGGATCGGTTATTGAAGTATCAATGTCTAAGTTATGAAAGAAACATTTGCTGGGTTTTTGTATGCCTTAGAAAATTTCATATGGTGTGATGTGTTGTCAACAGGAGCAAAAGGAGGCTATTGGGAAAGGTTTAATCACTATGGAAGATGTTGAAATGGCTGTTGCTGATGGTGTGTCTCTATGTCTTGCAAATCTTTTTCCTAACCATGTGACTGCCTTCGTTTAAGACTGATAAACTTCTTTGTTTGATCGAAAATAGGGAAAGCTGGAGGTGCCAATAAGAACCCAATGAGTTTCCATTTAAAGAAGAGCTCAAAACTCAAAGTGAAGCAGCTCAAGAAAAAGAATAAAAAGAAAGGCAAGTTACTGCTCACTGGATTTTCATACTTATTGCACTGAATGAATAATCTTTCAGTGGTCTTTTGGAAACAGTCTCTCTAGTCTCTTTTTCCGACTAGGGGTAAGGTCTGCTTTCACACCCCACTCAATCCCCATTTTTGTGTGATTTTGTTGGGTTTTTTTGTTGCCATTGATTGTATTGCAATGAATGATCTGTTTCTCTAAAACTGCTCTCATTTTTACAGGGAAGAGCAAAACAGAATCCCAGAAAGAAACTGCAGGAACTTCTGGGGATGCAATGGAAGAGTGAAGGGGAAAAGCAGAATGTGGGGTTTATTATAAATTTTTTGTACAAGCTACTAGCACACCTACATAGTTTGACAATGCAATGTTGTTCTTTTGAACTTCTGATTCACTTCTATGTATCCTATTCTCTTCATTAAAACTCTGCAATTATGTGTGATAATGAGTGAATGAAAATGCTACTCATGATTCCACTGGTTCTATGGTTTTTCATAGTGTGTGTTTGTTTCAACTCCAATTAGTTGGTTCTGCTTTAGAGGAACATAAAACAAAATTTGTTAATTTTATAGAGACTAAGGGGCTGTTTGTTTCAGCCTCTTAATGGTTCAGATGTCTGAATGGTTCAGTACTTAATGGTTCAGACTGTTTGTTTCAGTCTTTTAATGGTTCAGATGTCTGAATGGCTCAGACATTTGCCTCTGAATGGTTAAGTATTATACAGAGTCTGAATGGTAAAGACCTCTTATCTGAATTGATCAGACATTTGCCTCTGAATAGTTAAGCAATATACTACCTATTCAGAAGTTGCCAAACAGCCCCTAAATATGGCTAGCATGTGCTTTAGAAGTAATTTAATAAAATTCAAACTTTTACCCAAACATAAAAAAAATTATATAGAATAATTTGTTCTCCCGTAGTGCTAAAGTTCGCATTTGAAATATTGACTCACACATTTTATAAGCTGACAAGTGAATTTTTTTGCAAAAGATCTGATCTTTTATGATATTAATGCATTAAAATTAGATTGTTTTATATTATTTTTCTTAAATGGTTCTTTCTAATTGGATTTTTTCCCCAGTCCATTTTTTAAATAAAAACTAATTAAATATGAAAAACCAAATCACGAGTCTTCCATTTTGATTAATTTACTTTGAGCAAATCGAGGGATCATTTTCAATGAGTTTTTATTTAAAAAATGAACTAATTTGGAAAAATATCCAATTAAAAATGACCATTTTGGAAAATTAATAGAAGTTTCAATGCCGTTTTGATGCTATTTTGACGATCGCTAGCCAGGAGGACTAAACTGAGTATTATTTTCAATTAACGAGTACCATTTTCGACAAATAGTTTATCTTAGAGACCAGTTTGGCATATTTATTGAGTACCATTTTAAGAATTTATTCAATTTATAATCTACTTTTTTTGCCACATTTTTTTCTTAACAAGTTTAAACTCGAACCAGGCTCGAAACTAGACACATGACTACCATAGTCCCAAATATAATAAATATACTAGAGCAATACAAATTCAGGCTTTGTTTAGAATTCAATCAATCAACGTTTCCCTCCCTTCCCCACTCCCAAACGCCCCAGAAACAATAATGCCTTGAGCATTCATAGCTTCCCATTTCTGGCATCAGTTGAATGACTTTGATATCTGTTTAAGCTAAACCAAATATGACTACCTCCTGAACATGCCTGACATTTGGAGCATTTTGCAGTAGTCTGAAATCGTAGAAGAACCTTTAACAAGATCCCATATCTTGGCAGAGTTTTTAAGCCAGTCACGTTCGGACACTGTCCTTGAGAACGATGAGCCACTCATTGACAAAACCTGAAGAAGAAGAAGGGTAGTTAGGATCGTGCTACAGCCACACCAAAACTTTGGTGTCAAACTCTGGTGTTAAAATAGATATGCCCTAATAGTTGACTTAAGTTTACTTGTAGTGATGAGTGTTGCTTCAAGTTCCCACACATGAAAGCCTTTTCGGGGTTGGCTTCCCGTTACTGGGAGGGAAAACATGAGCCGCAGGAAGTAACTCCAACATTATATACCATTAGAGGGCGTTTGTTTTCATTTGAATTGGGTGGAGTACTAGCAAGGATAGTTTAGTAAATTTACTATTTATTCATAATCCATTCCAAACAAGCATAAAAAAGGAATTGCATTGATTTCATGAACTACGCTCAATAAATCCCATTCCAGATCCCACCTTCCAACTCCGAGTTCCCATTCTCATTCTCACTTACCAAACAAATGGTAGGCTAGAAACGATCCCATGTGTACTTAACGGGAGATTTGAACAACTTGGAGTCAAGTTGAACATCCCAATGGCCCACAAACAACACAAATGGGAAAAATTCATGGTCAAAGCACTGCATGATTGGTGCTACTGGAGCATAGAAGTATTTTTCCACTAGAACAAAATTATGTTTTATTTTGTTAGAGATCAGGGAGAAAGAAAAACCTGATCCCGAAGTTTCCACAATGCTGATACGGAGCTTTCATACAATGCTCTTGAGGAATTGTCCTGGTGCTTTGATGGAAGTAGGAATAATTTCAGGACATGAGAGTCTAAATTGCTACTTTGGGAGTTAACCTGCACAGAAATATTAGTGCCTTTGGACCTCACAAAGGAAGAATCAAGGAAAAACTGTGACAATGCCTTCCTCAACTGAGTGAGATTATGTGGAGTAAGATCCTCGTTGCGTAACCTACAATAAGTGAAAGCATAAAGATGAGCTACGATTACCATTACCAGTAAAATTCAAGTTTCAATCTTGTATAATTTTAGCTGTCATGGTAACGGTTTATGTTGACCCACTTTGTATGCACAAAAACTGGAGAGGCCATGTATTCTTCAGCCACTTCTCCAGTTTTATCTTTGCCTTCTTTTTCAGAGGGAAAACTAGAGCTTTGAGGATGGGAGAGCGATAGAGATGATGGGTCTGGTATGCCATGTTTTAGCAGGTCCACCTGAATCCCAATGTGATAATTTCTTAAAACAACATTAAGAAAACAAGATCAATTTTGCAAAAAACAATGGGCTCATTGCCCACAATTTTTTGTGAGCCCGTAGCTTTTAAAGAGTTTTAAACAAGAGGAAGAATGCAGCAAAAAAGGCTCAAACTTATATTCTTTTATTTTATATCTGATTTCTCTCCAAAAACTACGGGCACAATGGCTTGATACTTTTCCCTATAGGGACATTTCATTTGTACTCCACAAGCTTAGATTCTTTCAATTTATATCTGACTTTGAATTTCACTTCTAGAGCAATAAATCCTCACTATGTAAACATTTTCTAAAACATGATCATACTACATTTGAGGGGGGATTGGGGGATTTTTGGATTAAAAATGTACTTGGTAATATTTTGTTAATTTGATAACTCAAAGTGAAAGCAATCAAAGTTGAGGGAGTAAAAATGCTCATGATACCATAATTGAGATATCAATAGCATAATAAATTCAAATACTATCATCACTTAAGAAAACAAGGAATGAATTAGAAATCAAATATCGAAACAATGATAAAATTTATAGTTTAGTACACAGAATAATGTGTGGTAACAAGCATCAAATTCATTGGCAATACCTTGATAGAGAGGTTTAGAATACAGCAAATGGATTTCTAATGCAGTATAATTGTACAAAGTTGATTAATTAAAATACCGTAGACATTAACTGCCACATGCTGAGATCATGAACACCTTCTGATACCACTATGATAATGTGACAAATGGACACAAGAAACACGCCAAGCTACATAAATCCCTTGCATGAACACAAAAGAGGTATGGGATAATTGATAAGAGCTTTAGACGTTGACTTTTAAAATAAAGGAAAATTAGAAAAAAGAGATTAATGGTCCATTTGTAACCCAAACAATTGCTAGGGAAAGCAAAAGAGGAGAAAATTTGAAAAGGAAGAAAATGAGGGGTAAACACAAAATTTATTCACACCCAATAAATCAATGTAGATATTTGTTCAAACTCATTTTATTAAGGTAACTCTAGAATATAAAGAATGAGAAATCCAAATATATGTTAAAAATAAAAATAAAAGCTTTAATCAAATTCAATCTTCCTTTGTATTTTCTAAGGTAAAATCAAACACTAAGAGCTCATTCGTTAACACTGTCAGTTTTTAGTTTTTGGTTTTTGTATTTTTAAGTTAAAGGCTTAGAGCTACCTAAATCCAACAAAAAAACCAAAACCCCACTTTTGTTCATAATAATTTTGTTCCTTCAAATATAGAAGGAATAACACACAAATGATACTGAAGTAGGGCAAAAACCCCATTTTCATTACTATCTTTTTCCTATACCTACCATTTTCTGAGTCCAGAACATAGCATAAATGAATTGCAACATTACTGACAATGAAACTGCAATGGCATAGGATGTAGCTTGGAAGCTACCTGGATACTCATCAGTTCATGAGCTAGCTCAGCGGAGAGGGACTCGCCTGTCATCACAGAGATTGTGGACGAGCCATCTGGCCTAATCATCTCAGCTAAAAGAGAAGGGCTAAAAACAGGCTGCATGCAGTTTAGATGTGAATCATGAGCATAATATGGAGCACTGAATACAAGGTTTCATCACTTTTTAGTTCTTAACCCTCATACGAGTTCTCATTGAAATGTCAAAACTATGTTCTCCAAACTTAGATACTTTTCTATGAAACTTTCTTTAAACAAATCAAAGAAAAGAAAATGAAAGGACAGAAAAGGAACAGACACAGATTACTACGGAGTACTAGGCACTGAATAAACACCTGAGCATCAAGGAGTATAATCCGTTCAGTTGAAACTCGAGTTTCAATTCCAACAGTACAATGCTTGGACATTGCCCTTATTTCTTCTGATTGTACAGCAAATGGAGGGAGCATTCCTAATCAATGGCAAGTCTGAGAGAAATAATGACAGATCTAAATTATAGAAACAGTGTGTTTTTATTGTGGAACTGCTGTCCAGAACAATGTGCCCATACATATAAATAGAGGACTAAACAACACAACCATTACAAATAGACACAACAGTTTCTAACCAACACATCTGTTGGAAACTGTCATAAAACTGCCTGTAACTAGTAACTGCCTAACTGCCTGACTGTCTACCTTTTTTTTTTTTTTACTTATTTATTTTTAAACTTAAACTATATTCTGGACTGGAATTAACCAACAAAGTCAACAAAAAAGTGATCCTAAAACTGTTTTGAGTTTACAATTATTACTCTTTACGAACATTGCTAATGCTAAAACAAAAGTTGCATACCAGGAGAGGTAGAATCCGAGCCATAGATTTCATTCATTATGGTAGACTTGCCCACCCCTGGCGGACCAATCACCCCCACCACAGTAAATTCTGTATTATCCGTAAGAAACTGCAAAAAAAAAACACAATAAAAGCTGCAATTTTACCGAAACTGATGAGGAGAGTTCCATATAAAAAAGAGCGAGACGGTGTGATTACAGGGAGGAAACGGTCGGCGAGAAACTCCCAGGAGTCGGAAAGGAGGTTGAGAGAACCGATCGGCGGAATGCGAGGACGAAGCACGGCGGAGTCGTCATCGGCGCCGCTGCGATTGAACTTGCCGGAAGAGATGAGTCCAGGCTTGGCCAAGAGGATTTTGGGAGCTTGGTGTGACGCGGGAGAAGCACCGCTAGTAGCCATGAATTCTCGTTCTACTCTTCACACCCGTTCAGGCCAAGTGATTTATGGGCATTTGGAAAATTTTATTCTGGACTTCAATTTTCTACTCTAAATTCGACATTTTTTTAAAAAAAAATCTATACTCTAACTCACATGATTTCTCCCTTTTGTATTAATTTTAAACACGTAATTTTATTTTTAATCTCTGAATCAAATTTAAAGTAAAATTAAACATTTTTATCTATGTCGTTATGTAAAACAACAAGAATTACAAGACACTCGGTACAAACTTTACACAAACTTTACATATTAAAAACACAAACAAGAATTAAAACACAAACTTTACATATTAAAAAATTAATTAAAAAACTCTACGAAACAAAAAATGATATGATTAAATTATTTTATCAAATGAGTAACGAAAATAAAGAAAAAAATGCATGAAGTTTGATTTTATTAATAGTAAACAGACAACTTAAATTAAGACAAAGAGAGTACAATACATCGGTGGACCTTTTTCCTGGCCAATATAATGATATATAGTTTCTCAGTAAGGGTGAAGTTAATCAAAACCAGGAAGCAAGCAAAGAAAAACCAAACAAACACCAGAAATGTAACACACTCCGATGTGTAGAGCATGACTTAAAAAGGACATGCTCCAAGAGAACACTTGGTCAATATCAAAATTCCTTGAAAGGAAGGAAAAAAAGGGCCACTTTGAGCTTTGAGAACCAATACAGAAAATTTTTCAATAGAACAAGAATACGTATATATGCCTAAATCATCTGGGTAAAAAAAATAACAACAAAATATCTAAATTCAAAACCCCAACATGATTTGAATCAAATGGCCTTTCCATCTCCAGAAGCAGCAGCAGCTAATTTCTTCCTCTGTTGATGCTCTGCAACTTTGTAATCTACAACTTCACGAAAGAGAGAAGGGTCCAAAACGCAGTTCTCGCTACCATAAACAGCGGCCTGAACACTTGCCATCAGTTTGGCAATCTCTCTCCCCGAAAAGCCTTCCGTTTTTCGCGCGGCTTCCTTCAGGATGTCGTCGGTCAACCCTTTGACCTCTATCTTCTGAGCCGGTTTACGGAACCGGGAAAGGAAGCCAGCTTTCCGTGCTCCGGCTTGAGCTATGTATTTACCCATGTAAAGTTTTAGCAACTCAAAGCGCTCACTTTGGCCTGGGAGAGGGAATTCAAGAACTTCGTCTATACGGTCCGTGACAGCTGAATCAAGATCACCAGGCCTGTTTGTAGCAAGGGCAAGGACTATGTCTTTTGACTGGTCACCTGTTCTGAACAGAAGGGCATTTAAGGCACTCCTTTGGGCTTCACTCATGTAGGTCTTGTTCCGCCTGAAGTTAGAAAATCAGTTAAGTTTCATTCTCTTTCTTTCTCGTGATCCAAACATACCTTATCTAAAACACTCAACAAAACAAGTAAAATCCCACACAAAAGCAGGGTCTGGGGAGGGTATGTGTGCACAAACATTACCCCTACTCGGAAAAGAACAAAGGGGACATAAAAGCACAAACGTACTAAGAACAAAGGGAAATGAGCATACTAAGGGAAGGGTAAGCGCACTGAGAGACCTTATAAAATATGAGGGGAAATAAATTCTCACTTACTCGCACAAAAATGCATCTGCTTCATCAATGAACAGTAGCAGGCCTCTGTTGGACTTTTTGGCCCAGTCAAACAGTTGATGTATCTTGGTCACAGCCTGCGGACCAAGTGGTGCTACATCACCTCCTGTCATCAATGCATAGTCAAGTCCCTAGAAACATACATCAAGATTTATATTATGATCAGAGTCCACCAAGAACAAGTGTGTGTAAATTGAATTATACTATCCTGAGGGCCTGTGTGGTGTGTTTGGATCTCGGAAAATGTCAAGAAAAAAAAGTTATGGCTATTCCTTATACTCTCTCCTTCCCATAAGAGCACTCCAGCTTCTTGACAGGCCTTTGTTCCCCCAAAAAAGAGTCCAATTTAATCAAAACGTGCTAGTTTTCATGTTTCATAATGGTTCTACCATATTCAAAATTAAAAAGTATGTACCATGATAAAACAACTCTTTTGTAGGATGAAGAGTATTTGACTTTACATTCGGAAATAGAAACAAAAATGCAATATGATTGTTCTTTTGATTTTGTTATGCATGTATTTAAATTTCATTCTTCAAATGATAGTACTCCGTAGTATATTGTAAGCATATATTCAGATTTCTTTGTATTTTAAATAGTACTCCCTTTCTTTCCAATTCTCCTTTCTATTTTTTGGAGCAACACAAATGAGTGCATTTGAACATTTATTGAGATTGAGTCTGTTCTTTACTTCTTTATTTTCCCACATTCCCTTTCTTTCCCATTCTCCTTTCTATTTTTCTCCCAAGTTTATTTCCCTAATATATATCGTGTTACAAAAGAACACTTACAGAGCTGCGAGCAATCTCCCTAGCAACCAATGTCTTCCCTGTCCCTGGAGGTCCATGGAAAAGGACATTACGAAAGGGTGCCTGATGTGCCTTTGTAAAAGTCATAGTCCTGACAAGCTGAGAAACTCTTTTCTTAAGGGAGGGGTTTAGAATGACGTCTTCGAGTCCCTTTTCAGCCTGAGATGCAGATACCCCTTTTGAAAAAGTGCTCAGGCCACGCTTAAAGAAACCTGACCAAGGGTACCTTCCCCTGGATGACTCTCTGATCAATGATGGCTGTCCCAATATTCTATCCACATAACTCCAAATTACTCTAGCACCTTCCCTGAAATAGGAAAAAAATGAATAAGAATTTAACCAGTAGATGAGTTAATCAAGAAGGGTAACTTCAAATATATGAAATTATTCTGATAGTATTGATTATGATTCATAATACCTTGTTGTGTAGATGCCAGCAGCAAGCGCTGTCACACCACCAACAGCCACAACCAGCTTATCTTGATCAGTTAATATTGCCCTCATCCCACCTACAAAAGATGGACAACTTCCCTAAAAAATCCAAACGAGGTGCTCATTTTTATTACTGGTCACAAAAAGTGGTTGTCTTGTTCGTATATCAAGACTTCACCGAATCTGCTTGCAACAATTTTCCAAAATTTTACTGTGTTAGTACAAAAATTTTAATGAGAATTCTAGTGCTTTCACCCCAAAAAGAAGTGATGTTTTGAGAACTCCGTTCTAAAATAAAAGCCAGGTTTAGTCAACTTTCATTATTTAAGTAAAATTCTTGTAAAGCCAGGCGACGAGAAATTTAAATCAATTAAGGCACTACATTTGAAATATGTTTTGGGGGAATAAGTGACCTTTCGTAGTTTAAAAAAGTTATACCTTGATTGACTTGACTATAAACAAGAAGTCGAACCTTACTCTTAACAAGGCTCTCTTTTTTGAAGATATGGAGCACAAAACAAGAGGTCACTTGATTACTTATTATGCTGTTTTTAGAACAAAGAAATAAAGATATAATCTATAGAGTCCTACAGATAACTCATGAAGACCATACCTCCAATATGCTCAAAAGTTGTATTTATTGCCGATATCCATTTTTCTCTTTCTGCATTAGCGCGTTCTACTAATAATCTTCTGTTAACATCCTCAGCAAGCTTAGCTTCAAGTGCTCTTCCTTCTGCTTCAGCTAAAGTTTGTATTCTGATAGTTTCCTGTTTCATCTTTTCCTTTTCCCTCTCTGTCTGCCGGCGCTGTGCTTGAATTTGTTCTTCTGTTGCTCGTCTGGCTGCCTCCTGCCTCATAGCCGACTCCTCTTGCATCTTTACCAATTCCTGATTTCGTGCTCTTTGATGTTCATTTTCTGCCTGTATAATTTGCTGGAAAAAGTTATATATACTCCTAACTAGCAAGTTTCATTTGGAATGGGTTGTAGATAAAATCTTCACGTGCCTGCATCCTTTTCCTTGCTAACTCATCTTCATAACGAGCCATTTGTGACTTGATTTGTGCCTGTTGCTGAGCTAGCTTTTTCTGTTCATCATATATCACTCTTTGCCTCTCCTGTCAAACAAGAAAGTTGCTTCTTTTAAAATTCTGCTTGGCTAACAAAGCTCAAATTGTTTTAAAATTATCAATTCAGGATTCTTGTTGGGTAACTAATTACAGATTTTATTTCAATCATGAGAGGACATTGGGTTAACTATGGGGGTTACTAGTTAGTAAAGTAGTTACTTGTTAGTAGAACATAATATCCAAAGTGTAAAATTCATGTGAAATGTCATATAATTAAGATTAACTTCATGGATTAGATAAAAGTAGAAAAATGCACTTGATTTGCAGAATTGTGATCAAGACATTAAGTAGACTTTATTTTATAAAAATGAACAAAATTAAATCATATCATAATGGATTGGCCAACCTTTTCTGCAGAACCATCACTAAATTGACAATTGTTAAGAATTCTCAAGAATTGCAACAAATGCATAAGTATAGTTGTTGTATTATTACTTTAAGTGTCACAACTAGACAACTAGTAGTCATCTCATTGTATTTTCAATGCAAATGATAAAAAACAGTATTAAATGGATTTGGAATTCCATGTCATTAATCCTTCTCTAGAACGTTGTGACACAAATTGCATTTGGTGTAAACATTGCAACTATGTTTTTGCTACCCATTACCCTTAGGGCAATGTTTAAGAATTCTAAGCATGGAAAATTATCATTAAATGAACATGATAGAATGGACTTATATGTGCTCATTTACTATGTGCATTAATGATAATTTTGCATATTTCGAATGCTTAACCATTTCCCATAAGCTATGTTTGGTTCTAGGAATTGGAAAAAGAAAAGAAAATGAGATGAAAAACAATACTGGCATATTTCTTTTTAACACTGCAGAATGAACAATACTAGGCATATTTCTTTCATTTACTTATTTGCAGTTTTTTTAATTCCCATTGTAATTAAATCAAATAAAAATGAGGATGGAATTAAATCCGAGAAAATTAAGTAAGCTGGTTCAGCAAGTGATGTTATTTTGTTCCGCAGAACTTGAGCAAAGATCAGCTACCCATTCAGTTATGATATAAAGATTGTGATAAAATCTTGTTGCCTTGCTGGTTAGCAACCTATCACATTGCTCGATGATAGTTCTAAATAAATTTATAAAAAGAATATGGATATCATTATTTGGCATAAAATCAGTAAAACAAGAAGCATTAAACTGAGGAAGAGCAATCTTACAGTTTCAGCTTGAGCTTGCAAAGCTTTAAATTCAGCCGATTTTGCAGATAATTCTGCTTGCCTTGTATCCTCTTGCTTTCTTATCACCTCAAAAACCTGCAATGAATCAATTCGTACTTGAAATAAATGAAAGCTTCAATTTAAAATATGCGATACTTTTGGAAGTGCTCATTTCGTATGATCACAAATTAGTCCATAAAGTGCATACACAAAACACCTTACGATCACGTTAACTATCTGATATAACTTCACAAGACCAAGTAGACAAGACAATTCTGAAAAATGAAGGTACTAAGCACAATGCACCGTTATTCACGCGATAAGAGACCTTTTAAGCCATAAAACTTACAGAAGGATTATAAATCAATTCCAAATTTCATTAATTAGAGCCACTTCAAGCAGGAAAGAATGCACGCATTATAACATTACCACCACATCACGAAGTTTCTTCTAGTCGAAAACCCAAATTAAATCCAATAACAAACCTGTTTTGCACTGGTAGACTTGTCAATCGTTTTCAAAGCCCTGGCGCCTCTCTCCAGAGCTTCTGGGTCGAATCCGGCGGATGTTGTTCTGGGATGATCATTGCGAGGCTTTTGAGGTTCAGCCGGCGGTGGTGGCTTCGTGGCGTCAGCCTCCGCCGGAGCCTGAGCAGAGGGTTGGGCCGACGAAGAAGATGATGGAAATGGAGAGAAGGTGAAAGGCCCATCTGCGTAAGCAGGTTGTGCACCGAATGCTGCAGCTGCCAGGGTTGCGACGAGCCCAGCTGCACTAACTTTCGCCATTTCCGACGATTTTCAATTCTTTGGGAAAAAATTTCAGAGAAGATTACAGATGTTAGTAGGGTTTAGAGGGTTCTTGTGGGACAAGAAATTGCCCAAAAAAAAAGAGTGCGAGAAAGTTCAGGGTTTAGTTCGCGGTTTAGCATTGTAGTTCGCGTGGTAAGGAAAGTATTCCGTAATGAATTAATGATGGAGTTTTTTTAGATGGAGTTCCAATTATCCTACTGTATTTTTTTTTGTTTGGGCCTTGAGGTCTATAAGGTCCAACATAACTTTTTTTGAATGAACATAATTTTCTTTTTTTCTTTAATTTTTACTCCATTCATTTTCCAAAACAGTTTTTTTTGTTTTCTCGTTTGCAACAAAATACTTCCAATAAAAATGACTACCATATTCAAATTAAGTTATTGCAATATATTTCATTCGGTTTGCATTAATATCCTAAGTTATTTAAACAAGTTTCCTCTCTTTTTTTCTTCGACGCTTACGACATACTCCGTAATTTGAAAGTCAAATCATGAAAATAAATCAAACAGAAGATAAAATAAGAACTGTTTTACCAAAAAGAAGGGAGTAATTTTTATGGAATGGAGCATTTCGTATAGAATGCTTTTTTTGGTACACCTTGGAAGCATATCATTTTTATGGACTTTCTCACATAAATTTTTTTATTTAAAACACCAAATGCTTATTTATGTAGTAAAGAAATGCTTATTTTGCTCATTTGTAGGTTCATGATGAACCTTAAATCCACCATAGAATTTATCTTTCATAAAATGTAGTAGTTACGGAGTATTATTTAATAAAATTAAAAGTTATTCTTTCTTTAACACAAGGTCCACATTTATGTAGATTTTTTTTTTACACTTTTCATGAGTCGTGGAGATCTTTTATTTATTTTAAAAAGTCCAGGTATAACTTTCCTCATAGCATGAGCTCCCCCGTATTCCCCTTTATCATCTAATTGTTCCTCTCTTCATTTCCTTACCAAATCACCATCACACCCCCCCCCACCACATAAAGCATCCCCATTAGAGTTGCCCTTAGGTCATGTGTTATGGCGGACTTCAAAGAGACTTGATGGTGTGTAATAATGTATAATGTGCAGTGATAAAAATATGTGTGTTATGGTGGTGTGATAGAAGTGATGGAATGTGGATATTGGTTTGGTTTTGATTGGTTGGAAATTTAAAAAAAATAATAAAAAAAGAAAAGGTGGCGTAACACCTGTGACCACTATCAAGCCCTTTTGTCACGCCCGCCGTGTCGCGGTGGTCACGACGTAACGGGGCGTGACGCCTCCTTGGTCAAGCCCCACAACATATGATCTTATAAGAAAAAAATCAAATGAATATTGGTTACCAATAAATCACTCAACTCGTTTATGTCATTGATGAGTATGAGTTTGATTAAGATCTAACCTTGTATTAATAAGACGCCGCAACCTCTCATTTTGATAGGATTGCCAGTGTTGTTTGTTTATCTATCTTGTGATTCTTCTTACTGCTAAATGCAAAAAAAAAAAAAAAAAAAAAAAAAACTCCTACTTCNAAGAAAAAAATCAAATGAATATTGGTTACCAATAAATCACTCAACTCGTTTATGTCATTGATGAGTATGAGTTTGATTAAGATCTAACCTTGTATTAATAAGACGCCGCAACCTCTCATTTTGATAGGATTGCCAGTGTTGTTTGTTTATCTATCTTGTGATTCTTCTTACTGCTAAATGCAAAAAAAAAAAAAAAAAAAAAAAAAACTCCTACTTCCCAGCATTCCAATCCAAAATTGAGCATTTTGGGATCAATTTTCCACTTTACACATGAAAATGTTAAAGAAAAATCTTACCGTCTAATGGTATATATATATACATATAAGTCACGATATTAGACATAGAGAAAGTCTCATCATGAATGAGTACTAGACTTGAACCTTGAGATTGGCAATAAAAGATGTTAGATTGGACTTGAGATTTGATTTAGGCCTCATCTGAATTTGGCTAACAAGCTTTTTCATACACTTGTATCTTCCATATATATGGATTATAGCATTTCTTGTTGATCTTAGATTATTAGTGTTTGATCTAAGAGTAAAGAAATCTCATAGTAAAACAGTAAAGGGTACATTAAAAAAAAATACAGTACGAGTAATTGACAATGAGAGTTACTTCTTACACCACGCCATCCATTAATAGTTAACAGTGTAGAGTTTTACTTGGTCCGTTCCTAAGTGTTTGTCCATTTTTGACTTTTGGAACTGTTCATCTAAGCACTTTGACTTATCAAATTCTCTCAATGTGTAAGCCTAAAAATAGTCATGTGTGATCTTGTTTGAATCGTCTTAACATATAGATTATTAATATATAATTTTTATAAATTTTTAATATACAAATTACAAGATAAAATGGATTAAAGAAGTGCATTGGATGGTTTGCAAAAATGAAAGTGGACAAACACTCAGGAACGGAGGGAGTACATAGTAATAGAGGGTGAAATGCCGATGGAGAAGTCATCTCACACATGGCAAGTAAATGTACATTTTGTACATATCAATATATATCATCGTTCAAGTATCATTCAGGCAATTCAAGTTGAAATAGCAGTAGTTTAAATGTTCGAGACAAAAGAGTGAGTGAAAATGACCTAGTGCCACGGTGGAAATTCAAAAGGAAATGAGATCATTCGGCGGTTGCTTCGTGTCCGATCTGGACCCAGACGAGTCGCCGCCACCCCCTGCCTTTTTACCGAAGATCATTTCATCGAGGTCGTCCATCATGTCATCATTGGCCCCACCATGAAGAGCTCCAGAGCGTGGGCCCGAAGGCTTTCGGATCAAATCATTTTCCCTTCCTGCATGAGGGGAGGAGTCATCTGGCTCATCTGATGCGACGGGTATCATAGCCGGTTCTGGAGCTGAAGGAACCACTGCGGGTTTTTTCATGTCTTCATACATTGAAATGGTTTTCACCAGCTCGTCGTTCACATTCAAGGCTTCAAATAGCAGGGCATCATTATCGCCCGCGGTCTCGATGATTCTTTGAACAGTGCTCTGGGATCGGAGGCACTGTTGTACCAGCGTGGTTGTCAACTCATCCTTAAATTGTCCAAAAACACAAAAATGGGGGACAGTTTTAGTACTGGTGGAGAATGGAGAGTGAAAGAGAACACTAGAAGTTTGCCCCCAAATACAAATAAGGGTGGCGTAAGAGTCCATTGGAACCATTGAATCATTTACATTTATTAATTGTTTAAATCCCTTGTTATTACGGAGTACTATATAGATGTTATAGTATCATTTTGTGCATTGCACAACAATGTCCACACATGAGTTTTATTTTTGAGTTTTACATAGTACTTGTTTATACTAGAACTGTTGTTGGGCATATTAGATTTTTAATGGATAAAAAATTGGAAAAGTCATTAAAACTGCGAATCCTAAAACCACTCTACCAAGCCATACATTCCTGATTATCGACGCCTTAATCCCAATTCGTTGGGGCCAGTGGCAATAAAATCATAGTGCTCAGTGACACTTTATTTATGGAAAAAGCATAATGACAATGTTTCACAGCAAAATATTACTCCCTCCGTCCATAAAAAAACTTCCCACTTTCCTTTTTTATCCGTCCACAAATAAACTTCCCATTTCTATTTAAGGAAAGTTTTTGTGTGTGAAAAGCCATGCTTGCCCTTACAAATATAACCCAAATTTCAACTTTCTCATTTCTCACCACTCATTTTCAATCCATCCCCCAATTCCTCATCTTCTTCCTCGTCATTCTTCCTCCTTTTTTATTTTTCTTCGTCCTTTCTTATTTCGTCTTCTTCCTCCTCTAAATTCCTTCGTCCTGGTCATTCTTCCTCCTCCTCCTTTTTTATTTCTTCTTCTTCCTTTATTATTTCTTCTTCCTCCTCTCTAAATTCCTTCTTCTTCCTCCCTTTTTAAAGATCTATCTGGACCTTTTCCCAGATCTATTTGAAATTCTACCAGTGGGTGGATCGGACTATCGGAGCAGCGAGTTGGCAGTTGGATCTACCGTTAATTTCCGTTAAAATTCATTCTATCGTTGCTTTGCTTGTGTTTCCGGTCTCTACTGCCTCGTAGTCGTTGGTTACCTACCTGTTGCATCGCCCATTTATCCAATTGCTGGCGCGCTAATTCGCCGGTCACCGGTTGCTTCCACCGTCGG